TTCTCATTCTACGTGACTTTACCGAAAGAACCAAAGAAGATGAATCATTGCAGTCACGAAAGCTTTAAATCGAAATTTATTGACCTGGTCAAGGCCTATGATACCATCAGTAGGCCTGGGCTCTGGGTCGTTCTTCGTGCTTTTGGAGTACCTGACCCTCTGCTCACGATCATTAAGGACCTTCATGATGGTGAGCGGGCCCGGGTAAAACTACGTGGCCGGGAGTCAGAGCCATTCCCTGTTCACCTTGGGGTGCGACAGGGATGTCATCTGGCTCCCACATTATTTAACATCTATTTTGACCACGTAGTTCGTGAAGCCTTCAATAGCTGTACCGGGGGAATCTCCATATGGTACAGATATAATGGGAGGCTAATCGATGCCCGGGTGCGGTCAAGGGATGGCTCCCTATTGCTCAACCACGTTATGTATGCTGATGATTTGGTAATAGCTGCTCAGTCAGAGGAGGAGTTGGAGACGCTGCTGCTGAGACTGGAGCGTGCCACTAAGAGGTGGGGCCTTACCATCAGCCCCACCAAAACTAAGCACCTGCCTGGGTATTTTGTACCATCGGACACTCCACCCCCACAACTCCCAATCGGTGATGGGGCAGTTGTGGAGAGAGTGGAGAGTTTCCCATACCTGAGCAGTGTGCTTATGACTGGCTCCAGTTTAACAGCAGAGGTCTCACTCCGAATCAGTCGAGCGGCAATATATTTTCAACGGTTGCGTAACGCTGTGTGGAAGCTACCTGGTCTGTCGCTCCACACTAAGCTTCAGGTCTTCTCGGCCACGGTCATTCCCTCCCTTCTCTACGCTTGCGAAACGTGGACCCCCCTAATGGAACATCTTTGCCGGTTAGAAACATTTAGGCTGGCCTGCCTACGATCCATCCCGGGTTTAACCAGACTGGATTGTGTGAGGAGCTCACAAATCCTTGAAAGATCTGGGCAGGGTCCCATCAGTGAGCTCCTCTGGCAGGCAAGGCTGCAATGGCTGGGTCATGTAGCCCGCATGCCCAGCCACCGCATACCGAAACAGCTTCTGTTTGGCCGGATTGAGGGGGCTAAGCGGGCGCGGCACGGGCTAGAGAAGAGATGGAGTGATGTGGTACAGGAGGACGTGGAGCTGAGTGGACTTGCCGATGACTGGTACCAGCGGTGTCAAGATCGGCCTCTGTGGAGGAGGCTCGTGAAGGATGCTACTGGGCAGTTGGAGGCAGTCGCCCTCCAACAACAACGGAGGGCAGAGGAGCGACGCTCAGAACAACGAGCGGAGCGCCGGGTGGCTAAAGCACAGCAGGTTGGCACAGTAGGGGGCACAGGTGGTGCATCAGCCAGTCATCTCAGTCAGTCGACCCGTGGCACCTGGGTCTGCCCCGTGACCTCCTGCCAGCGGGTGTTCGACACTTCACGTGGCCTCAGGGTGCACATAGCCTGGCACAAGCGTCGTGGTGACGTCACCGCCACTTAGTGGCGAATGGCGGTTGTTGTTGTTGTTGTTGTGTCTGTGTGTGTGTGTGAGTGTACGTGTGTGTGTGAGTGTACGTGTGTGTGTGACTGTGTGTGTGTGCGTGTACGTGTGTGTCTGTGTGTTTTAGTGTACGTGTGTGTGTGTGAGTGTACGTGTGTGTGTACGTGTGTGTGTGCTGTGACGGCCTTCAGAGCTGCTCGCTAACGACACTTACTCCACAAGTCTGTTAAGGCTATACGGGGGATCTTTGTCTTTGAGGATTCGAGTTCGATTTCTGCTCACGGCCAACGCCATTGACGATGATCTGAGAACCAGTTCTGGGCCTCCCCGAGGTTGACTCAGCCTCTAATGAGTACCTGGTGTGGCGTGTAACACATAAGCTCTTGGTAGACAAAAGTGGCCGGGTGTGGTGCTGTCCAGACAAAGAGACTCAAATACTCGCACAAAAATACCCATAGACTCACACAGAGACGCATAGACTTGCGCAGAAACTCCAGATTCACATAGACACCCATAGACTCACACAGAGACGCATAGACTTGCGCAGAAACTCCAGATTCACACAGACACCCATAGACTCACACAGACACCCATAGACTCACACAGAGACGCATAGACTTGCGCAGAAACTCCAGATTCACACAGACACCCATAGACTAGAAACAGAGATGCAGACTTGCACAGAGACTCCAGATTCACACAAACACCCATAGACTCACACAGACACACAGACTTGCACAGAGACTCCAGATTCACACAAACACCCACAGACTAGCAACAGAGACACAGACTTGCACAGAGACTCCAGATTCACACAGACACCCATAGACTCACACAGAGACACATAGACTTGCGCAGAGACTCCAGATTCACACAAACACCCATAGACTAGCAACAGAGACACATAGACTTGCACAGAGACACAGACTTGCACAGAGACTCCAGATTCACACAGACACCCATAGACTAGCAACAGAGACACAGACTTGCACAGAGACTCCAGATTCACACAAACACCCATAGACTAGCAACAGAGACACATAGACTTGCACAGAGACTCCAGATTCACACAAACACCCACAGACTAGCAACAGAGACACAGACTTGCACAGAGACTCCAGATTCACACAGACACCCATAGACTCACACAGAGACACATAGACTTGCGCAGAGACTCCAGATTCACACAAACACCCATAGACTAGCAACAGAGACACATAGACTTGCACAGAGACACAGACTTGCACAGAGACTCCAGATTCACACAGACACCCATAGACTAGCAACAGAGACACAGACTTGCACAGAGACTCCAGATTCACACAAACACCCATAGACTAGCAACAGAGACACATAGACTTGCACAGAGACTCCAGATTCACACAGACACCCATAGACTAGCAACAGAGACACATAGACTTGCACAGAGACTCCAGATTCACACAGACACCCATAGACTCACACAGAGACACATAGACTTGCGCAGAGACTCCAGATTCACACAAACACCCATAGACTAGCAACAGAGACACATAGACTTGCACAGAGACTCCAGATTCACACAGACACCCATAGACTCACACAGAGACACATAGACTTGTGCAGAGACTCCAGATTCACACAGACACCCATAGACTAGCAACAGAGACACATAGACTTGCGCAGAGACTCCAGATTTACACAGACACCCATAGACTCACACAGAGACACATAGACTTGTGCAGAGACTCCAGATTCACACAGACACCCATAGACTAGCAACAGAGACACATAGACTTGCGCAGAGACTCCAGATTCACACAGACACCCATAGACTCACACAGAGACACATAGACTTGCACAGAGAATCCAGATTCACACAAACACCCATAGACTAGCAACAGAGACACATAGACTTGCACAGAGACTCCAGATTCACACAGACACCCATAGACTAGCAACAGAGACACATAGACTTGCGCAGAGACTCCAGATTCACACAGACACCCATAGACTCACACAGAGACACATAGACTTGTGCAGAGACTCCAGATTCACACAGACACCCATAGACTAGCAACAGAGACGCATAGACTTGCACAGAGACTCCAGATTCACACAGACACCCATAGACTAGCAACAGAGACACATAGACTAGCAACAGCGACACATAGACTTGCGCAGAGACTCCAGATTCACACAGACACCCATAGACTAGCAACAGAGACGCATCGACTCACAAAAGAGACCCCTAATATGCAAAATGGATGAATAGAAGATATTTTCTACAAGATCTGTAAAAACATCTTTCAAACGGGCTTTTTCATTTGAACACACTGGACGGTGCTCTGCACGATTCAGATTATTGTTGCTGTCGTTTGCCCAAGAAAGCCTCAGTGAGTCTCAAGACCAGCTTTCAGGAGGGTCCTGCTCAGATCTCGCCGTCAGGGGGTGGACGCTCGCTGCCGGGTTTCTCAAAGCAGGCATCTGGGGGGGGCATTTTTCAAATGCGGCCAATTTTTGATTGCGACTGCGATGCGTTTAAACGGCAAGGCGAAGTGAATTTGTTGAAGCAGGTGAGGGCTTGAGAGGATAGTCTCGCACGAGTGACCACGTGCACTGCTCTGTCAGCAAGGGGTGATCATTGCTGCGACGTGTAATCCCAATTGAGTATTTTGTTATTTCGACAATTACGACGATTTTTTTTTGTATTTTACCGGGTGTGAGGCCCCAACAAGCTGCAACGCCGCTCTTTTTCAGAAGCGACCCCCTGGCTATCACAAATGGTAGCTCAACGAAGTGGCTGATCACGTGGACATTTATAGCAGCCAAATAACACCAAAGCGCAGCTCGGGTCTAAACGTGGAGGGATAAACCAAATACACAGCAGCAGCAGCAGGCATCGTCAGGGTCGGGATCGAACCCACGACCTCCTGTACACCAGGCGAGGTAGTTAACATCTCCCGGCCACCGTAATGATGATGATGATAGAAAGAGACACAGCAAACCCCAAATCTACAGCAGCAGCAGGCATCGTCAGGGTCGGGATCGAACCCACGACCTCCTGTACACCAGGCGAGGTAGTTAACATCTCCCGGCCACCGTAATGATGATGATGATAGAAAGAGACACCGCAAACCCCAAATCTACAGCAGCAGCAGGCATCGTCAGGGTCGGGATCGAACCCACGACCTCCTGTACACCAGGCGAGGTAGTTAACATCTCCCGGCCACCGTAATGATGATGATAGAAAGAGACACGCAAACTCCAAATCTACAGCAGCAGGCATCAACAGGGTCGGGATCGAACCCACGACCTCCTGTACACCAGGCGAGGTAGTCGACATCTCCCGGCCACCGCGGCGTCCTCGCAATGGCCGTCACGTGATCTTGAACGTCCACGCCAAGCGAAGCGCCCGGCTCCTACGGCGAACGCTCGGCCACGTCGCCACCCTGCGCGAGTTTCCGTCCTCAGAGATCGGGGGGGGGAGGCGGGGGTGGAACCCGGACCCCAGCCCCGGTGCTCGGCCCTGGCGACCGCGAACGAACCTTGAGGTCGCGGCGGTCGAGCTGCAGCAGCTCGGGACCGCGGATGTCGTTGCGGGCGAAGGCGTCGCGATACTCGTCGAGACCCAGCCTCTCCAGCCAGCCGCCCACCTCCTCGGCGCACCACACGTGCACTGCGGACACACGCACGCACGTGTGTGTGTGAGGTGTGTGTGTGGGAGGTGTGTGTGTCTAAGGTGTGTGTGTGTGAGGTGTGTGTGTGTCTGATGTGTGTGTGTGTGTGTGAGCTGTGTGTGTGTGAGGTGTGTATGTGAGGTGTGTGTGTGTCTGAGGTGTGTGTGTGAGGTGTGTGTGTGAGGTGTGTGTGAGGTGTGTGTGTGTGAGGTGTGTGTGAGGTGTGTGTGTGTGGGGTGTGTGTGTGTGTGAGCTGTGTGTGTGAGCTGTGTGTGTGAGGTGTGTGTGTGAGCTGTGTGTGAGGTGTGTGTGTGTGTGAGTGTGTCAGCTGTGTGTGTGTGTGAGGTGTGTGTGTGTGAGCTGTGTGAGAGGTGTGTGTGAGTGTGTGAGCTGTGTGTGTGAGGTGTGTGTGTGAGCTGTGTGTGTGTGATGTGTGTGTGTGAGGTGTGTGTGAATGTGTGTGTGTGAGGTGTGTGTGTGTGAGCAGTGTGTGTGAGCTGTGTGTGTGAGGTGTGTGTGTGAGGTGTGTGTGTGTGTGTGAGTGTGTGAGCTGTGTGTGTGTGAGTGTGTGAACTGTGTGTGTGTGTGTGAGGTGTGTGTGTGTGAGGTGTGTGTGTGTGAGGTGTGTGAATGTGTGAGCTGTGTGTGTGAGTGTGTGAGCTGTGTGTGTGTGTGAGGTGTGTGTATGGGGAGCTGTAGTGTAGCGGTTTGCAGGCTGCGCGCTACGAACCCGGCGACCCGAGTTCGATTCCCGCTTACGGCCAACACCAGTGACGATTATCTGATCAGGGCTGGGCCTCCCCTAGGTCGACTCAGCCTTAAACGAGTCCATGGTGCAGCACCGGGGAGATGATGATGGCCAGGCGCGGTGTCGGCCACACACCTCATAGTCTGCCGCGTCAGCCTAACTAGGTGCTCCCTAACAGCGCTTGACGCAACAGTCTGTTCAGGCTGATATTTGTGTATTTTTGCAGTGGGAAGTGTTGGCACAGTAGTGACCGCACAGCCATACGAAAGAAGAAGAAGATCTGTATGTTTAACTTTTTCTACATACGTATATTGAACTTCTTCGATGTACGAATGTTCAACTTCTTCTATGTATGTACGTTGAACTTCTCTGGCACCATACGTAGCCAACCGTGCTAATCGGAGGTGCAGGGGGAAGGATGTTCAACTTCTTCTATGTATGTACGTTGAACTTCTCTGGCACCGTACGTAGCCAACCATGCTAATCGGAGGTGCGGGGGGAAGGACAACAAACTAAGCACACAAAGCAGTTATAATTAAAAGAGTTCGTCAATCTAGATGATTTAAAAGTGCATAGCTCCAGTGGCTTCCACAAGTCGGAAGGAGGAGCGTTCCAGACGGCCGCAGAAGCGCGTCTGAGAGCCCCTCGCGAAGCGGCGACCGCCGTCTTTGTCCGATGGCTCCGAACCCACGGAGTCACAGGGAACCTCGCGGACTCCGGCAGAGACCCGGAATGCTCCACGCACTGCCCCACGCACTGCCCCACGCACTTCCCCACGCACTATCCCACGCACTGCCCCACGCACTGCGATGCCAGTGACCATCACGCGGAAATGTATTGCATGCAAACGCTCTGTAAACGCGTCACGCTGATTCTAAACGTGGATGGTAAAAACAGGAGGACCCGGAGAAAAATGCACGCGACGACACAGGGCAGAGAGACACGCAAACTCCACATATACAGCAGCAGCAGCAGGCAGGCGTCAGGGTCGAACCCACGACCTCCTGTAACACCAGGCGAGGGAGTTAACGTCTCGGCAAAGTCAGAATCGGGCTCACGGCGCTATCCCGTGAGTAAGGTTACCGCCCCGAGAGGCGCCTATGGTATGTTCATCCTTTGAATGGTCGTTGTTGTTGTTGATGATGTTGTTGTTTGTGCTCCACTGCCAACGCAGCAGCAACTGAGGATTCTTCACACATTACAAATGAATAAAAGACCGACAATTATTTCAAAAGGGAATTAATGCAAGGATGAATGTTAATGGCGGTCAGTTTGAACATTTGTTAAAATTGTTAAAATACGTGACGTAACCCCCCTGTGATTTGTTAAAATAACTATGCGAACCCTACGTGTCCTCACTTTTGGGCCACCCTGTACACATCCCCGAGGCCAATCGACCGCCAAACGATGATACGATTTAATTTGTCTGCGGAGCGACCGAACGAAAGTCGGTGGACACGTTTATTTCACGCTGGAGCGAGGGTGCGGGCGTGCGCAGAGGTTTGTGGACGCAGTTTGTTGGCACAGGCGCCCGGCAAAGTGACTCTGACGCGCTGGCCGGGCACGAGCGAGACGGCCCCACCCAGCAGCACGGCGCCTGGATCATCCCCTGTGGCTTTGACGGCGTCCGTCCGTCCAGCCCCAACACAGGGCGCCCTCTGTCCTCACGGCCACGTGGAATGGACAGCCGCTCGGCCAGCAACACAGACGAGTGCGAGTGCATCGACGCGGGGGCCTCTGGGAGTTTGTCATTTCAGTAGCAAGGGTTTCTGGACTCTGGATGGAGTTCAACATTCAGTGTCTCATCAGCAGAGTGAGGCTTGACTGGTGAACTGCCCGACGTTTAGAGGCATAGGCTGGTTTTGACATTCAGTGTCTCATCAGCAGAGTGAGGCTTGACTGGTGAACTGCCCGACGTTTAGAGGCGTAGGCTGGTTTTGACATTCAGTGTCTCATCAGCAGAGTGAGGCTTGCTTGAAACAATACTGGTGACCTGCCCGACGTTTAGAGGCGTAGGCTGGTTTTGACATTCAGTGTCTCATCAGCAGAGTGAGGCTTGCTTGAAACAATACTGGTGAACTGCCCGACGTTTAGAGGCGTAGGCTGGTTTTGACATTCATTGTCTCATCAGCAGAGTGAGGTCTGCTTGAATTAAAGCCGGTGAACTGCCGGTTCCCTACTCCGCTTACGATATGGGGGTCACACAAACTCAAATTAATAATTAGGATCCTTATGGAGAATATACATAACACAATAAATGACGGGTTGCTGAATTTAAGAATAATAATGAACGTGCCTTGCTGTGCAGTTGTGGCCGTGGTGTAGTATGGGGCCACGGTAGAGAGATGTTAACTCCCTCACCTGGTTTGCAGGAGGTCGTGGGCTCGATCCTGACCCTGACGCCTGCTGCTGTATATTTGGAGTTTGCGTGTCTTTCTCTCTCCCCGTGGTAGCGTGCATTTTTCTCGGGGTCCTCCGATTTTTCCCTCCACATTTAGAAACGTGCGTCTACGAGTATTTGGCTGCTATACATTGCCACGTGATAAGCCACTTCGTTGAGCGATCAATTGTGATAGCAAGGTCGCTTCTGAAAAAGAGCTATACAGCTCAGTGGGCCTTACCTGGTAAAATAACAATTCTGGAACTGCTTTCTTTGTGTCTGTGCCCATGGCAACCACATAAAGTTGAGTGAGACTGCGTGTTGTATGATGGGGAGCGATGGGGAGCGGTGGCGTAGCGGTTAGCCCACTGCGCTACAAACCCAGCGACCCGAGTTTGATTCCCGTTCACGGCCATCACCAGTGGCGTTTGTCTGAACCGGTCCTGGGCCTCCCCTAGGTGAACTCCGCCTCAAATGAGTGCCTGGTGCGATGCGTAAAATAAACTTTGCCACTGGGGAGACAAAGGTGACCCAGCCTCTCGTGCGCCGTGCCGGCCTTCATAGACGCTACTCGCTAACGGCACTTGCCCCAACAGTCTGTTAAGGCTACACGGGGGATCTTTGTACTTTCGTGCCGAATGGCCTGGCCCACCGCTGCGTTCGGTCCCCGTGAGTGGCAGCGGCCGTCCGCTCCCCGTGTTCCGCCCGCCGCATCCACCCACACGGCTCCCGTCGCAAAACGCGAGGCCCGTTGACGGTGCGGGAGCTGTTGTTGTTGTTGTAAAGTTTGACGTGAAGCGGTGTCGTCGTCGCTTTGCGTGATGACAGCGGCTCGTGATCTTGCAGTGGCGAGGACGGCCGCCGGCGACGACGTCAAAGAACTGCCGCTGAATTCACTTCCGTAGGCACATTTCCCTTCGAGGATCTTGGGGCCCCGGGGGAGGTTTTGGGATAAAAATGTGGCCATCGCAGAGATAACGGGGTTTTTTTTCTCTAAAGAAAACGGATATCGCCGTGGCATCGTACCCCCTGGATTGCGAGAACACCAAACAGGCCTCACCCATTCAGGAATAATAATCCGACATCGGCTCGACGTGCGTGGGCTGCAACGGTGGCGACACTTTGCCTCTAGACGTTCGCTACAACACGTCTGAACGCTCTTCCTTCCGATATCAGCAGTCACTTTTAAACCTGGATTGAGAACTCATTTCTTTAGAACTGCTTTCTCTGTTTAGTCTGTTGTCCCTCCCCCGCAACTCCGATTAGCACGGTTGGCTATGTACGCTGCAAGAAGCTCAAGATACATACCCATAATGCACTGTGCCAGGAACTTTTTGATAATTTCGATTTCAATGCAAATGAAAGTATTTTATCTTCTTTGGTTCTTTCGGTAAAGTCACGTAGAATGAGAATAAAATAATAAATTGAAAAAATAAAATAACACAATAATATTCTCACGACGTTTCGGCCACAACACAAGCGGCCTTCATCAGGTGAAGGGGCGCGACTGTCTGGTAGGACAGCGCTGTACCAAAAGAACCAAAGAAGATGAATCATTGCAGTCACGAAAGCTTTAAATCGAAAGTATTTTAGTTTTATATATTTTATGGTTAAAGAGGTTGCCTGTAACTCACCAGCTACCAGGATGTGACCGTTCATATACCCATTTAAAAACCGTTCATCAGGAAAACATTTTTTCAAGTGTGATTATTATCAGGCGGCGAGGTGAAGAGTGCAGCCTCCCAACTCTTGTCGACTTTTACCTCTCTGGCTTCTCGATGTATGCGCTACAACTGAAGGCCGTTACCTGAAACGTCGCCTGTTATATACGTTTACTTCTAAGGCCACACACAGCGATGTTGACGAACGTGGTATTGTTTAGTTTAACACGCAGGCTTTCGCGATCAATGTTATCCATAATAAAGGTTTTTGTTGTGTTAGATTTGCGTGAATTACAAAATGTGGCATTGACCCACCAACACCTGATACAGTCATTTAGTAAGGTCTGTCACGTAAACAAAACGTGCCGATTAGTTACTGGTTGAACAGGCGATCTGCCAGTTCTGACAAATCGCCTGATGAAGCTGGTTTTAATCACCAGCGAGACTCTCCAACACACAACCGGTGTGCTGAACTAGTAACTAATGGGCACGTCTTGTTTACGTGACAAAACTTACTAATTGTCGGGTGGTGGTGGCGGGTTTAGCGACACATTTATACTGACGTGATCGAACCCCTCAAAAAAAAACCTTTATTACGAGTGGCATTATTGATTTACGTCTTACAGGCTTAGGTCTTATTCTTAGCTCTTTCGGTAAAGTCACGTTTGTGTTATGGTCGAAACGTCGTGATAATTTTTATTGTTTTATATATATTTTATTATTTTATTGTTTCCCTTCAACGTGACTTTACCGAAAGAGCTAAGAATATGAATCACTGCAGTCACGGAAGCTTTAAATCAAAATTTAGGCTTAGGTCTGTTAAACCCCAGCATTTCGGGCGATCTCTGACAGCACGTGGGGGCGCAGCGCGGAGCGGTGGCGACGGGCCCGGGTGCGGGGAGGGGGGGCACTGCGTGGGGACGGCGGTGGTACCGGGCACGGCGAGGGCGGCGTGCGAGTCCCGGGCCCGCAGGTTCTTGTCGCGCTTGAACTTGGGCACGAGACGGAACTTGGCGCTGCGCCCCGTCCACTTGGAGTACTCCATCGCGTGGATCTGTCACAGTGGCAACGTCGCCGCCGTCATCATCATCATCGCCACCAGCCTTAGGCGTGATCTGTCCTCTGCTAGATGAAAACAGATTTCTGCTTTTTTTTGTTTTAATTTGTTGTCCTTCCCCAGCACCTCCGATTAGCACGGTTGGCTATGTACGGTGCGAAAGAAGTTCAACATACATACACAGAAGAAGTTCAACATATGTACATTGAAGAAGTTCAACATACGTACATTGAAGTTCAACATCCAGATCTTCTTCTTCTTTAATATGGCTGATGTAGATGCGGAGCAATAACTGCAATGTCACATTCAGGTGGTCAAGCCAGCAGATAACTGTGTCAAGAGTAGGGGATCAGTGTGTCGCTGTGATGTCTCCTTCTTATTTGTTGATTAGGCGTTATACGTTGTACGATCTGTTCTGGATGACCACAGTGGCACAGATGAAGGCCTTTCGTGTGCTGAATGGTGATTCGGACAATATGAGAATGATCGATACGATTGTAAGGTTTAAAACATGTTCATTTAATTCTGCATCTTAATTGTATATTTGTTCTTTATTTGTTTGAGTAGTGCATTCTGAAATATATGTATGAGTTTGTGATGCTGCGCTAAGTTAAGAAATATCTAAGTTGGAGCACTTCAGTTGCCTGGCCAAAGCGTGGCCTGTGAACTCGTCCAATTCTAGCTCGCTGGCCCGAAAACTCAATAAAAAAATACAAATTGCCACCTCTCGCGGGCCTTGTGATGAAACAATCCATCTAGCTCCTCCACGTGAGCTGATTTTACATCTACCCAGTAAACAGGCACACGTTGATCCAACGTTAGCATGTGGTTGGAATCACAGAGCCAACGTCGACCCAATATTGACCCAACATTGGCCGAATGGTTCCATGCTGACTGGGCACCCTCCGTGGTGCATGCACTCTCGCGTGCGTTCACTCCTTCGCCTGTCACTCTATCCTTAGTCTCCACCACCAGCCATCATTCTTGCTCGGTCAGAATCGTCACCAACCCCTACCAACCACCTATCGAATGTAACCGGGCTACGGGCATCTATGTGAGTCTATGAGTTTCTATTTGAGTCTATGGATCTGTATTTGAAACTATGGGACTCTATGTGAGTCTACGGTTCTCTATGGGAGTCATTGGTGACCGGGCTAAGACCATCAACCCGCCGCGCTGAACCCAGATCTCAGCGGTAACGGTTGGGATGACCTCTGACCCCCGCGGTGGAGATGACCTCTGACCCACGTGGTTGAGACGACCTCTGACCCACGAGATTGAGATGACCTCTGACCCACGCAGTCAAGGTGACCCATGACCCACGCGGTGGAGACGACCTCTGACCCACGCGGGGGCGCAACGCTCGACGCACCTCCCCGTCGCTCGGCTGGGCCATGTGACGCAGCCAGGGGATGTCTGCGATGCGACGCAGCTCCAGGTCGACGGCCGCCAGCGCCGCGTGCAGCGAGTCCTCCTGCTCGCGCTCCAGCTGCTGCTCGCGGGAAGCAAACGAACAAAGGCACGGACGCCGCCCCGCCCGCCGTGTCGCCTTTAAGAGACCGCCGGGACAAGTGTTGTCGTCAACGAGCACCTCTACTCTGTTCTCCTACAATGCGTGTGGTTTTCATCGCGGCGAATTGGATACAACGCGACGAATGTGTTCAGGGAAGACATTTTTTCGATAACGCGGATGCGAATTGGATATGTAACGCGACTGAGCGAATGGGAATAAGCGGTCGTACGGCCGCCTCGGCGTAGCATCGCACGAGGCGGAGGGATGCTGCTGGATGCTTCTAGACGCTACCCACGCGCCTCGGTCTTTGTTCCGCTTGAGCATGCATCTCACGTGCTATCGCGGACCAAACTTTACTCGATATTATATTATCTATTTTTACGCTCTTTTTCCATAACGCGGTGTTCTTCAGGAACGCAACTACTCACACGTTACGGGAGAACAGACTGCATTAAGACGGACAAGGCACCCGAAGGCGGTGGACGACCAGTACAACGCCTGGCCGCCTTTGTCTACCCCAATGCTGATGTCTACACACTCATCGGAGGTGCGGGGGAAGGACAACAAACTAAACACAAAAAGCAGTTTTTGAAGAAATGAGTTTTCAATCTAGATGACTTAAAAGTGCATAACCCCAGTGGGTTCTTAATATCGGAAGGAAGAGCATTCCAGACGGCCACAAAAGGGCATCTTAAAGCGCCGCACAATGCTTAGTTTCATATAGCCGTCATTCATGCAAACAATTACCGAGGCACTAAGAATACGCATAAAAGGTTTCCAGGCGGTGAGCCGGCACCAACAATTGCTCTGCAGTCCTCTATATACCAAGATCTCGTGAGTGTTTATTACACGCAGGAGAATACCGACGCGTGCAAGGGGGCAACACTCGATCCCGTACCAGAAGGGACAGGCTATATCAGTCCCCACACCTCCAATTAGCACGGTTGTCTACGTACAGTGTGAAAGAAATTCTTCATAAATACACACATCGCTGTACAGTTCAATGTTTCTGTCATTCGTCCGGAGATCCACCCAACCCTCCACAGGATCCCGTCACGAAGGACTCACGAGGGAGAGCTTGCCGGACAGCAGCAGCTCTGTCTCGCCATGCAGAGCCTTCACGTTGTTTACGAAGTCCATCACCAGGTGCCGGGCCAAGCCCTGTGAGCAAGTGGGGCGAGGACAGGGGAGAGCATCACCACCATCACCACCATCACCACCATCACCCCCATCACCACCATCACCCCCATCACCACCATCACCACCATCATCATCATCACCACCATCACCACCATCACCACCATCATCATCATCACCACCACCATCACCACCACCATCACCCCCATCACCACCATCACCACCATCACCACCATCATCACCACCATCACCACCATCATCATCATCACCACCACCATCACTACCACCATCACCACCACCATCACCACCACCATCACCACCACCATCACCACCATCACCCCCATCACCACCATCACCCCCATCACCATCATCACCACCATCATCATCATCACCACCATCACCACCATCACCACCATCATCACCACCATCACCACCATCACCACCATCATCATCATCACCACCACCATCACCACCACCATCACCACCACCATCACCACCATCACCACCATCATCATCGTCGACAATTACCAAAATGGGACCACAGAGTTAGGGTAAATGTTGGTGCCAGTTCTGTCTGCCTGCCTGTGCGCCTTGCAACCCGAGCAGTTTTAATAACAACAATTTTCATTCTACCAGGTGACGTCACCGCCACATAGTGGCGGCTGTTGTGCGTATCTTTGTCCACGAACTGTCTGTGTCACTCTAAGGAGGTCATCATTTTTGAACTTGGGGGTGGAACAACAATTGCGTCAATTACCGTTCAAGACGCACCCCAAAAACTTTAGAGATATTTTTTTGTTCACTATTTTTAATTTTCCCAGGAAAGGCCCATTGAGCTTTATAGCTCTTTTTCACAAGCGATCTGACTATCACAAATGATAGCTCAACTAATTGTGTGGGAAATTTTCAATAGCACAGAGGACCGGGAGAAATATCCACGGTGAGAGACAGACACACAAACTCCAAATATACCAGCAGGCGTCATCAGGGTCGAGATCGAAACCACGACCCTCCTGCATACCAGGCGAGGTAGTTAACATCTCATAGCCACCGTGGCGCAGTGGGCGGGGCTACCTGAATAGTAGGCAGGGCTACCTGAGCAGTGGGCGGGGCCACCTGAGCAGTAGGCGGGGCTACCTGAGCAGTGGGCGGGGCCACATGAGCAGTGGGCGGGGCTGAGTAGCAGGTGGGGGGGTACTGGCGGAGGCGGCCCGCTCACCCGCGCGAGTTCCCGGCCGAGCCTCCGGGAGACGCGGGGAGCTTTTTACTCACGGAGGATCGCTTGGGCTTGCCGTAGAGGGCGTCGAGCGCGTGCGCGCTGGCGTTGACGGCGTGGGCCAGCTCCTGCTCCACGCTGCTGTGGCCCTCGGCCGCCTCCCTGATCCTGGAGGCGGCGGCGACAACAGAGACACCGCGGGCGTGGGATTATTTGACCAAGTAAGGCCCACTTTTTCAGGAGCAAACTGGCTATCACAAACGAAGTGGCTTATCACGTGGAAATTTATAGCGGCCAAATACTCTGAACGCGTGTTTATAAACGTGGAGGGAAAAACCGGAGGACCCGGAGAAAAATGCACGCGACCACGGGGAGAGACACGCAAACTCAAAATATACAAGCATCGGGGTTGGGATCGAAGCCACGACCCCTGTATACCAGGCGAGGTAGTCAACATCTCGCAACTGCGGCATATCGCCGACACTCTCTCGACGTCCGGGCCGCCAGGGGGTCCTCACGCGTGAATGAGGGCGGCGGCGGCGCAGGCGAACGCCTCGATCCGATTGGCCTCCTCCGCCATGATGACCTCCGACGGTGGCGTGGCCTGCAGCAGTGCATGCTGGGAGTGCGGGCGAGGCAGCTCGTACTTCTGCTTGTCCTCCCACGACTTGAGCGTGCTCTCGAAGGCCTGCCATCACCGCCGCACAACAACAACAACAACAAAGATCCCCCATCCCCGCATAAGCCTTCATTGCCTGCTCGGACAAGAGCCGTTAGAGAGCACCTGTGAAGGCCGGCACAAAACGTGGCGGGCTGGTGTTGCATGCAAGGCGCCTGGCTGGCTTTGTCTCCTCGTGACTACCGTGGTGGTGGTGGTGGCGGCGGCGGTGGTGAAGTCTCGGTCATGGTGGCGGTCGTGTAAGTGTCGGTGTGCCGGTAGCGGCGATGGTAGCGATGGAGGTGGCTATTGACGTCGCAGCTGTGGCGGTGGTATCGGTGGCGAAGTTTTAAGGGCACCCCTCACCCGGTCGCGCGTCAGCATCTGCGCCCGGTTCTTGTGGGTGATCTTGATGTATCCCGGTGGCTGGATCCAGGCCTCTCCATCCACCTGCACGGGCATCCCCTCCTCCCCCAGGATCGTGATCTTCACTGTGCGGCACTGCAGCCGTCGCACACGGAGACACATGATCGCTTGCGTCATCACAGAGACACATGATCGCTTGCGTCATCACACAGACACATGATCGCTTGCATCATCACAGACACACATGATCGCTTGCGTCATCACAGAGACACATGATCGCTTGCGTCATCACACAGACACATGATCGCTTGCGTCATCACAGAGACACATGATCGCTTGCGTCATCACAGAGACACATGATCGCTTGCGTCATCAGAGAGACACATGATCGCTTGCGTCGTCACAGAGACACATGATCGCTTGTGTCATCACACAGACACATGATCGCTTGTGTCATCACACAGACACATGATCGCTTGCGTCGTCACAGAGACACATGATCGCTTGTGTCATCACAGAGACACATGATCGCTTGCGTCATCACAGACACATGATCACTTGTGTCATCATGGAGACACATGATCGCTTGCGTCATCACACAGACACATGATCGCTTGCGTCGTCACAGAGACACATGATCGCTTGCGTCATCACAGAGACACATGATCGCTTTCGTCATCACAGAGACACATGATCGCTTGCGTCATCACAGAGATACATGATCGCTTGCGTCATCACAGAGACACATGATCGCTTGCGTCATCACATAGACACATGATCGCTTGCGTCGTCACAGAGACACATGATCGCTTGCGTCATCACACAGACACATGATCGCTTTCATCATCACAGAGACACATGATCACTTGCGTCATCACAGAGACACATGATCGCTTGCGTGTCTCTCCCCATATGTCTCTTTGCGGTCTGTGTTCTATCACTCTCTTAAATTTCACACTAAACTTACAATTTAGCAATCTTTGAAATAGCGTAATCAACCAGACCATGCGTTAATTGTGTTTTAACCGACCGTCTGTGTTGCTTTATATAGTTTCCAAATTTTGCTAAACCCTGTTTGATTTAGTGTGCTCCTCCGTCTGTCTCTGTGTCCTCTGGTGTGTCTGTGTTAATTCCCTCTACTTAGGGTCCGTATATATCTGCGGTTATGTGTTTCCTCTCACTCTCTTAAATTTAGCTCTTCTGTACCTGATGATGATTGCTTGTGTTGCAATCGAAACGTCGTATGCTATTATATAATTTTATTTTTTATTATTTCTACGTGACTTTACCGAAAAAAACAAAGAGTAATTCCTGCAGTCACGAAAGCACCTAATCAAGTTCGAAGGTTACAATTGTCAACGATTTTTTGGGATCTGAAAAATATTCCCCATTTCGGTTAAGCTCAACGGGCAGATTGTCTGTTTTGGATGCCTTTTCGATATATTTGATCGATTTCCAGAAAAATTCTGGCATTTCCATGTGATTCCAGGAGAGTGGAGGAAAAGTAGGCATTTTTTGCATGCGTGATTTTTTTTATGCATCTATTCCTTAAAATCCTGTATTCTAGCCAGTCATTGCCCAAATTACTTTTCTGAGCACATGCCCAAGCCTTGTCCCTAGTTTTCATGAGCTTTGTAATCAAAGGATCAAACCATAGTGGGCGGTTGCCTTTAGTTTTAAATCTAACCAACTGAGCATGTTTGTTAAGAATTTGGAGAAACGTGTACCTGAAGGTCTCAAAAGCCGTAGTCAGGTTGGGGATATCACAGACCTTGTCAATATCTGAGTGAAGCACATAATTAGTAAATGCCTGAGTGCTGAAGTGTCTCATAGAGTGCTTCTCAACCAATTTAGGGGGGGCTTTGGGTCTGGCTGATGATCTCACCCCAAAAATGAAGGAGTGATCACGAAGGTTATTACCCAGAACACCAGTTAGTGCGAAATTGCGAGGGGTATTTGTCAATAGGACGTCAAGCAGAGATGACTGTCCCGGATTTTTTAGGTTGAGTCTTGTGGGAACATTTATTAATTGAAACAGGTTAAATTCATCGCAAAATTTGTGGCCACGGCCGGCGGGTTTAGCCAATTCCAATTGAGATCACCCACTAAAACGATTTCACCTTTAGGGAGGCCCCCAAAAAGCTCTCTCAGTGCAGATGCAGCTTCAACATCCTTCCCACTAGGCGGTCTATAGCAGCACGCTACCGATATCTGTTGATTATTTGGGAGAGTTATTCTGAGAGCCAAACCTTCAAAGCAACATTTTTTTAAACAAGGAGTGACGCTGGTGAACATGCAATAGTGTTACGAACATAGATGGCAATTCCACCTCCTTTAGATCCTCGGTCAAGCCGAGAAAGGTTGCAGTTGTCAATCGACGGCGGTGACGCGCGACGCCCTCACCTGCGCGATGCGGTGGTGCTGCAGGTTGAGCACGCGCGACACGGCCATCTGCATGCTGCTGAACACGGCCACCACCTCCAGGATCTTGTCGTCAAACGACGGCGCCGTGAACGTCTGGGAGAGTGGGGGGGGGGCACAAACACACGCACGCTTACACCCAGCACTTAACACACACACACACTTACATCCAGCACTTAACACATGCTTACACCCAGCACTTAACACACGCTTACACCCAGCACCTAACACACGCTTACACCCAGCACTTAAGACACACGCATGCTTATACCCAGCACTTAACACACGCTTACACCCAGCACTTAAGACACACGCACGCTTACACCCAGCACTTAACACACGCTTACACCCAGCACTTAACACACGCTTACACCCAGCACTTAAGACACACGCACGCTTACACCCAGCACTTAACACACGCTTACACCCAGCACTTAACACACACGCACGCTTACACCCAGCACTTAACACACGTGCACGCTTACACCAAGCACTTAACATACACGCACACCCAGCACTTAACACACACGCACGCTTACACCCAGCACTTAACACACACGCACACTTACACCCAGCACTTAACACACACGCACGCTTACACCCAGCACTTAACACACGCTTACACCCAGCACTTAACACACACGCACGCTTACACCCAGCCAGCACTTAACACACACGCACAATTACACCCAGCACTTATCACACACTTACACCCAGCACTTAACACACACGCACGCTTACACCCAGCCAGCACTTAACACACACGCACAATTACACCCAGCACTTATCACACACTTACACACAGCACTTATCACACACGCACGCTTACACCCAGCACTTAACACACACGCACGCTTACACCAAGCACTTAACACACACGCACGCTTACACCCAGCACTTAACACACACGCACACTTACACCCAGCACTTAACACACACGCACACTTACACCCAGCACTTAACACACACGCACGCTTACACCCAGCACTTAACACACACGCACACTTACACCCAGCACTTATCACACACGCACACTTACACCCAGCACTTAACACACACGCACACTTAAACCCAGCACTTAACACACACGCACGCTTACACCCAGCACTTAACACACACACGCACACTTACACCCAGCACTTAACACACACTTACACCCAGCACTTAACACACACACACGCTTACACTGTTGTATATGAGCCTTTTCAAAAAATGATATTAACAATAATATTTGCGTTATATATTTATTTTTTAACAAACGAAAAAAATAATCAATAAAACCCGTAAGCCAGGCACACGAAAAACCAGATGTCGGTCATAAACAGGCCATTAATAAATAAAGAAATAATAAAACTCTCGAGGCGAGGATGTTAGCAGCTATCTGCGAAGATCTCCAGATGAACAAGAGTTTGATGTGCCCTAAGGGAGGTCACGCAGAGGGAAGCCCTCCGCAAGCCAGAAATGAGGACGCCCACGGGTTAAACCATTTTTTTTTAAAACAACGGTTAAAATTTAAAATGCAATAATAAGAATAAGCTAAAGTTAGCGGTCCTCGCGCTCACTCCAATTAAGACCAGGCCACCAGATACATCAGTGAATTATTATCCAATAATTAATTCGCTATCAAATGATTTTCACCTTTAATACTTTGACTGTTAAAACAAAGCTTGGAGACAAAATACAGAGTCACATCAAAGGTTTTCGAGAAGGAATGAGGCGAACGGGCAAACTTACGAAAGAGTTTAAACAATATCCCAAGCAACCCCGACCACCTTTGTCTCTCCCGAAGAGCGCGAGAGAGGAATTTCACGCCAGGGCAAACAGATCGTTATCGCAGGAGCCATCTGTACACACACACGAACTCACACACACAGACCCCGCCCCCCCCCCTTTTCCACTGCGCAGAGAGAATTGTCTTTGAATATAACGGTCAGCCGCATTTTCAAAAATAAGAGTGAAGTTAAGTCAAGAGTCAAGACAGATCAGCGAGTCAAGACGTCCACAGGACGAGCAGTCGCATGGAGCGGCTGGCTCCGAGCCTCGCTGAGTAGGGAGGATCGCTGAGTCGCGATGTATCAACAAAAGTGAGTCATACAGCAGTGGAGGAAACCTGCTGTCAGCGAACCAGCACGGGCGCGTTCGCGCACTTCAACAGAGAGAGCACGTGCGACTCAACTCACTCAACTGAAGGAAAAGCTTGGCCAGCCGCCAACAAAGTATCAGCGAATCAGTGCTGAGAGCGCTCGAGCATCTCCACAAAGAAAGCACGTGCAACGTGGCTCAACCAGCAGCGGAAAAGCACGAGCAGCCGCCAACAACTTCAGCAAACCAGTGACCAAGCGCGTGCGACTTGAGTCATACAGCAGTGGAGGGAACCTGCTGTCAGAGAGCCGCCAACAACCTCAACAAAGAGCGCGTGCGACTCGGCTCACTCAGCAGAAGAAAAACTTGACCTGTCGCCCGCGAGCGCAGCGTCAGATACTACAGCAGCGGAAAGAGCGCGCACCGGCGCAGCTCATCCAGCAGTTGAGGAAACTGCTGTCAGCGAATCAGCACGGGCGCGTTCGCGCATCGTCAAGGAGAAAGAGCGCGGCCAGCAACGCCAAGCAAGAGCGTGCAGCAGCTCAGCCAGCAGTGGAGAGAAACTGCTGTCAGCGAACCAGCACGGGCGCGTTCGCGCATCTTCAAGGAGAAAGAGCGCGGCCAGCAACGCCAAGCAAGAGCGTGCAGCAGCTCAGCCAGCAGTGGAGAGAAACTGCTGTCAGCGAACCAGCACGGGCACGTTCGCGCATCTTCAAGGAGAAAGAGCGCGGCCAGCAACGCCAAGCAAGAGCGTGCAGCAGCTCAGCCAGCAGTGGAGAGAAACTGCTATCAGCGAACCAGCACGGGCGCGTTCGCGCATCTTCAAGGAGAGGGAGCGCGCGCCACCAGCGTGCCATCAGCACCAGCATCAGCACCAGCGCGTGCCAACAGCGTGCCACCAGCGTGCCACCAGCACCAGCGCGTGCCAACAGCGTGCCACCAGCGTGCTACAGCGCGCAACTTCGCGTCACCAGGGCTGAGAGGGCAGCGGCCCCGCACTCAACACCCATCGGCGCGACGACGGCGAGCGTCGTGCTGACTCATCCAGCCAGCGGTGGACAGAAACTGGCAGTCGTTCGTATGTTCCCCACACTCTCCCCCTCACTCCCCCATCGCTTCACAACGAACAAACATTTTTTTGACAAGGAAATCAACCTAGGCGTTTGCTCAACGCAAAAAATCAACAACCCTCCCATCAAACATACAAGACTCATGATAACTGCGTCAACTATTAGCTGATAACGAAAAACATCGCCACTCATTGAGTTATGTTGATGAGGCAATCAGAATTATTTCAGTCGAACGCTTTAATTGCATAATCGTTGATGAATCAATGAACGAACATCGCCGTGGTACTGTGCTGACGATTTCAAGCATAATAATTTCGCATATCAGAATGTGTTAAGGATTGGATACGAATCAAAGACCGAGTGTCGTGTTGTGTAATCATTCAAGAATACGAGTTTGCATATTATAAGGTTGATGGTATCATGTTAACGCTGTTGAAATTCCAACATCCCGAGATTGAGTTTTCATATTATCCAAAAATTAAAGTTAGCTAGAAAATAAAATTGATCAAAGCAGAAGGTTTGTGTGTGATTCTTCCTGAAATTCTGCATAATATTGTTCTGCGTATGAGATCTGAATCCTGGGGACCTATCATAAGCACACTATCACCACACATAATCCATAACACACATAATTCATAATGTTCAATCGAGAGTAATCGTATCCTTATCGATAATACGGAATTAAAGAGCAGAGTCGAATCGACTCTCTCTCATTCACGCTCACAACGCCTGCGTCACTGCATACGATTAATTGCGTTATTCCAATTCATAACACAATCCTCGTCACCGAGGCTCGACCTGATAATCCATAACGACCTGCATTATCATAACCACGCCCACTCGCATAAATTAATACGATTATCTCTCGAATCAGTATAATTTATGTGCATAATTACACTAATTAACGTAATTTCGGATAAATTATGCAAATTTCAAATTTCATTTAATTTGCATTATTTTCATCAATTTTCATAACACCTATATATACAACAACACCCAGCACTTATCACACACGCACACTTACACCCAGCACTTAACACACACGCACACTTACACCCAGCACTTAACACACACGCACGCTTACACCCAGCACTTAACACACACTTACACCGAGCACTTAACACACACGCACGCACGCTTACATCCAGCACTTAACACACACTTACACCCAGCACTTAACACACACGCAGGCTTACACCCAGCACTTAACACACACTTACACCCAGCACTTAACACACACGCACGCACGCTTACACCCAGCACTTAACACACACTTACACCCAACACTTAACACACACACACACTTACACCCAGCACTTAACACACACGCACGCTTACACCCAGCACTTAACACACACTTACACCCAGCACTTAACACACACTTACACCCAGCACTTAACACACACGCACACTTACACCCAGCACTTAACACACACTTACACCCAGCACTTAACACACACTTACACCCAGCACTTAACACACACGCACGCTTACACCCAGCACTCATCAGGGCTGTATGTGTGAGCTGTTTGAGCCCGCGCGGCGCTGTGTTCCGCGACCGCCGCGAGCGCCTCTGTCTCCCAACCTCGTCCTCCTTGGTCCCGCCCCAGAAGTTTGTTCCTCCCGCGTAGCTCGGTATGTTGAGCACCGCGATGCCCTGCAGACTCGGCAGCGGGATGTACTGCCCGTCACACTGCGCGACAAACACAATGGTAAGTGACATCCATCAGGCGCCCTTAAACGATACGTCTCAGAGCGCCGGGTATGGCTCGGCCATCGAACAAGGATGGTCACCGCATCGAGCGCTCTCAGATGCAATTATACGGCCGTCTGGAACGTTCTTCCTTCCGATATTAGGAAGCCACTGGGAGCCACGCAACTTTTAAATCATCTGGATTGAAAACTCATTACTTTAGAACTGCTTTTTTGTGTTTAGTTTGTTGTCCTTCCCCAGGTCACTGCTGCTAACTAAGACTATCCGGGTCTGTTGAGTTCTCACGACTGGTTAGACGAACTAAACTTGGAACTTGACGATTTCGAGTTAGGCTCGCTAAAAGCACTTGGCCCAACATTCTGTTGCATGTGACAATGCAGGAGGAGAGGGGAGCGGGAGTGCAGCGGTTAGGGCGTTGCACTAACGAACCTGGCGAGCCGAGTTCGAATTCCCGCTCACGCCCAACACCAGCGACCATTATCTGAACCGGTCCTGGGCCTCCCCTAGGTTGACTCAGCCTCAAATGAGTACCTGGTGCGATGCGTAAACATCGCCACTGGGTAGACAAAGGCGGCCGGGCGTGGTGCTGGCCACCCACCCCCTCGTGTGCCTTGCCGGCCTTCATAGGTGCTGCTCGCTAACAGCACTTGCCCCAACAGTCTGTTAATGCTATACGGTAGTAGGGGATGGTGTCTTTGTCTTTGTTGTGAGGGGGTGTCCATCCCTCACCTCCAGGAGCACGCGCTGGTCCAGGTTCTTGAAGGACTGCTGCAGCAGCTCCTTGGTTCCGAGCACTCCGTACCACATGATGTTCTTGGTTCGACTCCTGAGCGGGGCAGGGCACACGTACGGGACACGTCACGGCACACGTACGGGACACGACCCACGGGGGAGCTTGCGGCGTCTCAAGTTTAAATGGCGAGCACATCGGGCATTCGCGCAAAGCTTAGCGAACGCAAGGCTGTCGCTGTGTTTGTAAATTTGTACGTTGAACTTCTAATTGGAGGTGCGCGGGAGGCAAGGACAACAGACTAAACACAAGAAGCAGTTCTAAAGAAATTAGTTTGTCAATCTAGATGATGATGTCAAAGTGGGTAGCCCCCAGTGGCTTCCTAATATCGGAAAAGCGTTCCGGACGGCCGCAGAAGCGCATCTGAAAGCGCCGCGTGATGCGGTGACCACCGTCTTTGTTCGATGGCTGAGCCGAAAGCTACTGCTGCTGCTGCGAGGATGAAGTTTCACACACGAATGAAGGTTGTTTTTCCCAATTCAATTATTCGTGATGAATTGTTCAAATTGGCCAAATGTGGACCGTGATGCCGGCACCCGGTGGGCTAGCTCCCTTTTAGAATGACGTCACGGGCCATCTCCAACGGCCGCTGTGCGGGGGACGGCGCGCGGTATGTTATTGTTTTAACTTTTGAACACGCTTGCGATATTAACCAGGGTGCACCGCGCGATTCCAACCGCAAACGTCCGAACACGAGCCGCGAACGTTCCGCCCGCTTGTAAAGTTGTACAGGCGTCGTGCATGGTCTCTTAACGGGTTGCTGGGCAAGTGTGAAACAGTGATGGAAAAAAGTATTTGATCCCCTGCTGATTTGTACGTTTGCCCACTGACAAAGAAATTATCAGTCTATAATTGTAATGGTAGGTTTATTTGGACAGTGAGAGACAGAATAACAACAACAAAATCCAGAAAATCGCATGTCAAAAATGTTATAAATTGATTTGCATTTTAATGAGGGAAATAAGTATTTGACCCCGCTGCAAAACATGACTTAGCACTTGGTGGCAAAACTCTTGTTGGCAATCACAGAGGTCAGACGTTTCTTGTAGTTGGCCACCAGGTTTGCACACATCTCAGGAGGGATTTTGTCCCACTCCTCTTTGCAGATCTTCTCCAAGTCATTAAGGTTTCGAGGCTGACGTTTGGCAACGCGAACCTTCAGCTCCCTCCACAGATTTTCTATGGGATTAAGGTCGGGAAACTGGCTAGGCCACTCCAGGACCTTAATGTGCTTCTTCTTGAGCCACTCATGAATCCTTGTAAAAAGGTTTCAGTTTTGTTGGCAGAAAAAAGGGGAAAAACCCTATTATTAATTAATATGTTATCAGAGCCACGTGTTTGTTTGCATGTTTTTGCCACAAGTACTGTGCATGGTTAATGCAGACGTGATGCCTTGAGAAAGAGTATCGATGTGGTGTCTGAACATCTGAACACTTCCTGTTTTATTACCAGAAATGATCAAGCCTATTGTTATTCTTTCATCATTTTGGTAATTGGCAAAAATGTCCCATGGATTTATTTTCTCTACGTGTTGGTGGTAGAGTAGTGTCGTGGTTAGCACACTGCACTTCGAACCCGACAACCCGAGTTCGATTCCCGCCCATGGCCAAAAACAGTGGCGAATATCTGAACCGGTCCTGGGCCTACTTTAGGTCGACTCAGCCTCAAACGAGTACCTGGTGCGGTGCGTACATTTCACCACTAGGGAGACAAAGGTGGCTGGACGTAGTGTTAGCCACCCACCCTCTCGTGAGCCGTGCCAGCCTTCATAGGTGGTCGCTAACAACACTTGCCCCTACAGTCTGTAAGGGGCAATACGGGGGACCTTTGTCTTGATTAGTGTACGTGCGTCGTACACTGTATATGAGTGGTACACATGGTGCGTGCATGCGTGTGTGTAGTGCTGCTGCTCGCTAACAGCACTTGCCCCTGAGGCCTGTTGAAGGCTATACTGGGGATCTTTGTGTTTGCGGTGTTATGTTGTGGCTCTGTGCGTGCGTTCCCATGCCGGCATTTCTCTGGGTGCTCCTCCCGCTTGTTGTTGAAGTCCAGAGAAATCTTGGCATCAAGGCCGATCCCGAAATAGTTGTTCATCACGCACTTCTCCATGAAGCCCTCGCTGCCAAGAAACACACAGCCCAGGAAAAGGTCACGTCTCGGGCGAGTGGGATGGCTGGAGGCGAGTGGGTGAGTGAGTGGGTGAATGGGTGGGTGAGTTAGTGGGTGAATGAGTGGATGAGTGAGTGGGTGAGTGAATGGGTGAATGAGGTGGTGGGTGGGTGAGTGAGCGGGTCAGCGGATGAATGGGGAAGAAAGCGGGTGAGCGGGAGAGCGGATTAGTGAGCGGGCGGGCGGATCAACGGGTGAGCGGGTGAACAGGTGAGTGAGCGGGCAAACGGGAGAGCGGGAGAGTAGGTGAGTGAGCGGGCAAGCCGGTGAGTGAGCAGGTGAGCGAGTGAGTGAGTGGGCGAGCGAGTGAGTGAGCGGGTGAGCGGGTGAGCGGGTGAGTGAGCGGGAGAGCGGGTGAGTGGGTGAGCGGGTGAGTGAGCAGGAGAACGGGTGAGTGAGTGAGTGAGCAGGTGAGTGGGAGGTCGGGTGGTGGGCTGGGGGGGGCACTCACAGTGAGTCTGGGTCGGGGTCCATGAGAGGCGTGGCGCAGGCCCCCAGGGTGTCCGCATTGGTGAGCAGCATCTTGCTGATGATGCAGCTCCCGGCGACCGACGCGGCCAGGCCCGCTCGCAGACCTGCAGCGCCACCACAGGGCCCTTCGTTACCCCCCGGGGCCCTTCGTTACCCCCCAGGGCCCTCTCAAGGCTCTTTGTCAGAAGGGTCCCGACCGGCGCCATTACAAAGCGGCGATATTGGACCCGTTCTGCCGCCAGGTAAGATTAATAAAAAATGATTTGTTTTATCTAGCCCTCATTCGTGCAAACAATTGCCGAGGCACGAAGAAGGTTTCCGAGTGATGAACCGGCACCAACAATAGCTCCACATTCTTCTATATATAAAAATGTTTTCAGCCAGCTCGTGAGTGTTTATACACGCGGGAGGAAACCGGAGAACTCGGAGAAAACCGACCCGTGCGAGGGAGCAACACTCAATTCCGTACCAGAAGGGACAGACGACATCAGTCGACACAACGCTGTACAGTTATATATTTCTGTAATGCGGCCGTCTGGAACGCTCTTCCTTCCGATATTAGGAAGCCACTGAAGCTATGCACTTTTAAAAGATCTGGATAGAAAACGAATTTCTTTAGAACTGATTTTTGTGTGAAGTTTGTTGTCCTTCCCCCACACCTCTGATTAGCACGATTCGCTACGTACGGTGCGAAAGAAGCTCAACATACGTACATCGCTGCACAGTTCTACATTCTTGTCATTCGTCCGGAGATCCACCCAACCCTCACTGCCTCCTAGCCCCGACTCTTATCCGGCGCCCCCCCTTTGAACGCGCCCACGTCGCCCGACTGCACCCCCCCCCCCCCCACTCGGCACGTACTGGGGTAGAGGATGCGCATGTTGAGCATGGGCAGGTTCTCCTTGCCGGAGCCGGGCCCGGCCGTGGTGGGCAGCGAGCCCCCCAGGAATGCGCTCGTCTTGCTGATGCGCCGCTCCATCGGCGCCGTCAGAACGTCGCCTGCACCCGGCACGGCGGCACGGCGGCTGAGCTGCGGTTGCCACACGGCGTTCCACTACTCATAGGCCATGTCCACTACTCATAGACCATGTCCACTACTCATAGGCCATGTCCACTACTCGTAGACCATGTCCACTACCCGTAGACCATGTCCACTACTCGTAGACCATGTCCACTACTCATAGACCATGTTCACTACTCATAGACCATATCCACTACCCAGAGACCATGTCCACTACTCATAGACCATGTCCACTACCCGTAGACCATGTCCACTACCCATAGACCATGTCCACTACTCATAGACCATGTCCACTACCCATAGACCATGTCCACTACCCGTAGACCATGTCCACTACTCGTAGACCATGTCCACTACCCATAGACCATGTCCACTACTCATAGACCATGTCCACTACCCATAGACCATGTCCACTACTCATAGACCATGTCCACTACTCATAGACCATGTCCACTACTCATAGACCATGTCCACTACTCATAGGCCATGTCCACTACCCATAGACCATGTCCACTACCCATACACCATGTCCACTACCGATAGGCCATGTCCACTACTCATAGACCATGTCCACTACCCATAGACCATGTCCACTACTCATAGACCATGTCCACTACTCATAGACCATGTCCACTACCCATAGGCCATGTCCACTACCCATAGACCATGTCCACTACCCAAAGACCATGTCCACTACCCATAAACCATGTCCACTACTCATAGGCCATGTCCATTACTCATAGGCCATGTCCACTACTCATAGACCATGTCCACTACCCATAGACCATGTCCACTACCCATAGACCATGTCCACTACCCATAGGCCATGTCTACTACTCATAGGCCATGTCCACTACTCATAGACCATGTCCACTACTCATAGACCATGTCCACTACTCATAGACCATGTCCACTACCCATAGACCATGTCCACTACTCATAGACCATGTCCACTACCCATAGGCCATGTCTACTACTCATAGACCATGTCCACTTCCCATAGACCATGTCCACTACCCATAGATCATGTCCACTACTCATAGACCATGTCCACTACCCATAGGCCATGTCTACTACTCATAGACCATGTCCACTACCCATAGGCCATGTCTACTACTCATAGACCATGTCCACTACCCAAAGACCATGTCTACTACCCATAGACCATGTCCACTACCCATAGACCATGTCCACTACCCATAGGCCATGTCTACTACTCATAGGCCATGTCCACTACCCATAGACCATGTCCACTACTCATAGACCATGCCCACTACCCATAGGCCATGTCTACTACTCATAGACCATGTCCACTACCCATAGACCATGTCCACTACCCATAGACCATGTCCACTACTCATAGACCATGTCCACTACCCATAGGCCATGTCTACTACTCATAGACCATGTCCACTACCCATAGGCCATGTCTACTACTCATAGACCATGTCCACTACTCATAGACCATGTCCACTACCCATAGACCATGTCCACTACCCATAGACCATGTCCACTACTCATAGACCATGTCCACTACCCATAGGCCATGTCTACTACTCATAGACCATGTCCACTACTCATAGACCATGTCCACTACCCATAGGCCATGTCTACTACTCATAGACCATGTCCACTACTCATAGGCCATGTCCACTACCCATAGACCATGTCCACTACTCATAGACCATGTCCACTACTCATAGACCATGTCCACTACCCATAGACCATGTCCACTACTCATAGACCATGTCCACTATCCATAGACCATGTCCACTACTCATAGGCCATGCCCTCAAAGGCCCCCCGCGTCAGCCTCACCTCGGTTGCTGAGACGAGATCCGAACGAGGATCGTGGGGAGGATCGGGGCGAGGATCGGGGGGAGGAGTCTTCGTCACCGCTGTGAGCGTGGCCACCGGTGGGCTCCGTCCCCCCGGCATGCGGAGCCTCAGCTAGGCCCGCCGCCTCCTCCACCTCCTCCACCTCCTCCTGCACCTCCTCCTGCACCTCTTCCTGCACCTCCTCCGGCTCCCTCCTGCAGGTGCTCGTCTGCGCGTTCTGTTCATCCACGGCTGAGAGAGCGGACGCGCACAACACAAACAAAGCCGCGCAGGATCGTGGATCAACGCCGCGTCCGCTCCTGCCAACCCCCCCCCCCCCCCCATGCCGTGCGGGTCGTGGGGGGGGGGGGGTTGACCGTACTTCCCCACGCTGGTCAGCACGGGTTGGGAAAAGTGCAGCGTAAAAGATCCGGGAGCATAGAAGTACGGCGCAACAAAGGATTGCCCTTGTACTGCCTTCTGTAGAGCAGTCCATAGCAACCTTCACGCATTGTTGTGTTTTGTTGTTTGCTGTCCTTCCGCCGGCACCTCCGATTATCAGGGTTGGCTACGTATGGTGCGAAAGAAGTTCAACGTACACACACGCAAAATATCCATAACAGATCGCGTAAATATATAAATGTGTCATTAAAACCCGCCACCACCCGACACAGCCAACTAGTGAGGGTTGCCACGTAAACAGAACGTGACAATTCGTCACGAGTACAGCACTAACCGGTGTGTTGGAGAGCCAAGCCACAACATTTACAATCTGAGCTACGACGTTTCGCCAGTAATTACAACTAGCTTCATCAGGCGACAGCCAGAATTGTGAAATGTACACACACTCATCGTGGTTATACCCATCAGGCTCAGCCCCCCATGCTGAGCTGTCCCACACTGGCGCGTCTTCATGCACTGGCTGCAGCTGGCCGCGTAAACGATGCCGAACAATAGGGACATCATTTGGCATGCAACACATCCATCGTGTGAACACCTGCGCATGCATACCATTTTAGGAATATGGGCTCCATTAATAGAGGATTATCGTGTGCCATGAAGAAGGGTTGTTGGCTGAAACGTCGCCTATTATATATATTTTCCCATTTAAAGCCACAATGTTGTTGACGAATGTGTTGAGATTTATAGATGTTTTTGTTTTAATTTGTGCATCTTTCACCGCTGCCAACGCAGTTGGCTGCACCGCCCTCCCGCTGCCCGCAATGTGGCCCCCACAGCGGCCCCTCGCAATCCCACGCTGTTCACGTCGGTCGCCCATCCCAGCGCCACCCAGGCCTCAACCCACGTCCGTCCATCACTCGCCGAGCTGCATTGGAGTCCGTTTGCCAAACGAATCCGTTGTTATGACGTCGCACTCATTACACACACAAAGTGCTCGCCACAACACGACACCTCGCTGACCTCGTCAAGGAGTGTAAACCATCAATCACTCATCCTCGCAGCAGCAGCAGCAGCGGCGGCGGCTCGTGGCTCGCATCGCGCGCATTCAGATGCGCTTCTGCGGCCATCTGGAACGTGCTTTCTTCTAATATGAGGAAGCCACTGGGAGCTATGCAGTTTTAAATCATCAAGATTGAAAACTCATTTCTTTAGAACTGCTTTTAGTGTTTAGTTTGTTGTCCTTCCCCCGCACCTCCGATTAACACGGTTGGCTTTCGGGATGTCACGAGCCTGGCCACACCCCGGCTGACCTGGCCAACCGTGCGGTCGAAGCGACCGCCGTGGCGAGCCATCGTAGCGCCCTACCTCTCTCGGCCTGCTCGATGATCTGCCGCACGGCCTTCTTCAGGCTGTTGGCTCGCGACATGAGGTGCTCGCGCGGCAGGAACAGCTGCGTCTCCGCCGCCGTCGCCAGTGCAGGAAGAGGAGGAGGAGGTCGTGGCCTCCTCCTCAGCGGCGCCTCCCTGTGCCTCCCCGCGCACGTCTCTCTCCCGGCCCCCTCCCGTGATCCCTTCTCCAGCTCCTCCTCCACCGCCACCTCTTCGCCGTCATCGTCCTCCTCCTCCGGTTCGGTCTCCTCCTCCTCGGCGATGGGGGGGGTGCCGGTGCTGCCCGGCGCCACCGCCGCCGCCGCCGCCGCCGCCCGCGCTTCGTCGTTGAGCGCCGTCAGGAGGGAGTCGAGCTTCTCGTTCAGCGCGGCGCACTGCGGGCGGGAACGAAACGGCGCCCTCGAATCAGCGGCGTGCATTTACAGCTCGGCTACGTCCGGAGGGGGGTCCCTCGCGACGCGAACGCGGCCGCGTCGTTTCGGGCCGGCCTAGCCCGAGGGGACCGACCGCGAATCACGACGAGTGTCGTCGGCGGGAGGGTCGTTCGCGGACGGCCTCACCTTGTGGGCCATGGCGTCCGACTCCCGGGGGTTCTCCCCGGCCCTCTCGTAGGCGCTGCCCACGCGCGCCACGAAGCCCTTCACCGTCTCGCAGAGCACGCGGGCGGACGCGATCACCACCGAGTGCCGCTCCGAGTTGAGGATGCGCGTGAGGTGAGCCGCCACGGAGCCCTCGTAAGCCGCCATCTCCGCCTGCCCGCGCCCCGCGCGCCAAACGGCAACAGCATTTTTTTCTGGGAGGCTCAACATGGTGGGGGGGAGGGGGGCGGGGGAGGGGGGCGGGGGAGGGGGGCGGGGGAGGGGGCGGACAGCCCGGCCACAGACTTTCGCTCGCCGGCCGCTCTCGAGCGGCGGGTCCCGCCGTCCGCAGCCGAGCGAGCGCCTCGCGTTGAGACGAGAAAACCCGGAGGGGCGGATTCGACGTCGCGGTCGACCCCACCGCGGGCCGAGGGCCGCCCCACGCCCGCGGCGCTCGTGGCCCACGGCGGCCGTGCGAGCGAACTCCGCCACGCCGGCGGGAGCGGCGGGGGTGGGTTTGGTCGCGCCCCTCTCCGAGTGCCGGACCGGCACAGGGCGCCCCGCTCTCTCTCTCGCTCTCTCTCTCTCTCGCTCTCTCTCTCGTTCTCTCGCTCTCTCTCTCACCTGCCCGCCGCCTTCTCTGCCGCCCTCCTCGGCCGCGCCCGCTCGCCCGTCCGCCTCGCCGTCGCAGGACCTCTCCTCTCCCGGCACGGGCTGCGAGTGCCGGGGCGGCACGTTCACCTCGTACGACATGATCGCCCACCTGGCGGGCGGACACACCGTGCCCGGGAGACGCGGGGGGAGACGCGGGGGGAGACGCGGGGGGAGACGCGGGGGGGAGACGCGTGAGGAGACAGGGAGATGCACGGAGACAGAAATACAGGGAGGTACATAGACACAGAGAGATGCGTGGACAGAAGTAGCCAAATGAACACATTGAGATGCAGGGAGAGATGCACAGATTCAGGGAGACGGAGATATCGGGACAAACATTAACACAGGGAAATGCAGGAAGACACACAGACACGTTACATGACAACCAAACCGATATTTTAATTCTGAGAGCTGTAATTGAGACAAATTAAGCGCAAAAAGCCAAAACTTAAAGCATCTTTTTTTATCATAACATGTATTTATTGGTGACTGGGCTGAGACCAAGAACACCTGGCAACCAATCTAATTCAAGGGCAGCTCATACCACCAGTTCACAATGAAGCGGATTGCATCTCTCCACCGACGGGACGAAGGTTCCCGGCTCAGCGCTCTGACGACCTCCGACCCCTGACATCTGACCCCTGACCTCTGACCTCGGCGGAGAGCCGCCTCACCTGTCCAGCATCTTTACGCCGGCACGCTCGAGCTTCTCCAGGATCTGCGGGAGGGTGGCGTCATCGTCGCACGAGTGACCCCAACCCAGGACGCGCGCGAGGTCATTGCCCGTGCCCAGGGGCAGGACCCCCATCTGACACTGCAAAGACAAAGACAAAAAAAAGATTCCCCCTATCGCCTTTAACAGACTGTTGGGGCAAGTGCTGTTGATTTATTGATTGATTTTTTTCAGCAAAACTAGTATACTGAAACGTCAAGCAAGATTTGTACAATGCTTTACGTCCCGCTGCACGTTTAAAATAAAAATAAAAACTGACATTCAACCGGCAGTTCACTGGCATTAGTTTAAGCAAAGCCTGACTGCTGATGAGATGCTGAATGCTGAAACCGAGCCAGAGTTTGCTTGTGCTGAACCAACGCTTCTGAAATAACTCCCTCCCAGAAGGCCGTGTGGCCTCCGGGATGTCGAGGAACAGCTATGGGGAGAGGAGGCGTAGTGACTGGCTATTAGTAGGGACGGAGCGATGGGATGGGAGGGAGGAGAGAGAAGGACGGGTAGGAGGGATGGGAGGGAGACAGGTTTGGAGGGATAGAAGGGAAGAAGGTAAGGAAGGGATGAGAGGGAAGAAAGGAAGGGAGGGGTGGGAGGGAGGGAGGGAGGGAGGGAGGGGTGGGAGGGAGGGAGTGACTGGTTGCTCACCTGCTTGTGCAAGCTCAGCTGATCGATGTCGGACAGCACCCAGCCCACGCTCCCATCGCCGCCGCATACCAGGATCCGGAACGTGTCGAACTTGTGGAACAGACGCAGCCTGAAGCGCAGAGTGGGCGGCCGACCGGCCAGGGAGGAAGGGTTTAGGGTGCGAGTCGGGGCCAGGGCGGCTCAACCCTCTACTTCCCCCGGACCGCGCGTGGAATCGCAGCGCTCTCTGTGCCCTGTCTTTTTACAGCGTTATAGGAACAACACGTTACAATCAGGGAGCTCAGTTTAACACGTAGCAGGCCTTCAACGACCAATTATCCACAATAAAGGTTGTTTTAGGTTAGATCTCGTAAGTGTAAATGTGTCGTTAAACCCGTCACCACCCGACGCAGCCAATTCGTAAGGTTTGTCACGTAAACAGAACGTGTCAATTTCTAACGAGTTCAGCACATCGTTGTGTTCGAGAGAAAACCCACAACATTTACAATTCGAGTTCCGTGACGTTTCGCTCGTGATTACAACGACAACAACGACAACGACAAAAACAACAACAACCAGCCTCATCAGACGACAGCCAGAATCAGGGAGCTGCCACGGTGGTGTAACGGGTTGTTACAAATTTCACAAACCCATACCCGGCCGCCCGCACCGCCTCTGTCTACCCAGCTGCGCACCTCCACTAACAAGCCTGGCGTGCATAGAAGAGAAGACGAAGTAGCCGCTAGAGCCCCCCCCCCCCCCCCCCATCTGACTTCCACCTGCAGCGACGTTGGCCGGCGATTGCTGCAGGGCTGCGACTCAGCGCGCCGTGCCGATCGTACGTCCGTGAAGCGCACCCATCAATGCCGTCCTTCACGAGGGTTCACACTGGAATCCGTTTCCGGTTCATGATTTTCGGAAGCGGTAATCCATTGTGAAATCGGTCACCGGCTTACCGGTTTGCCGGATGTATGCATGTTGAGCTTCTTTCGCACGGCACACAGCCAACCGTGCTAATCGGTAACCGTTCAACAACCCTGATATGTGCTTCACTCGTTCATTATTAAATTTGGAACGTGCATCGATACAATTTTAAGGAAGTCTGATACATAGAGATGATACAGACAGATGAACCCGCGCCTCCGGTTAGCACGGTTGGCTACGTATGGTGCGAAAGAAGTTCAACGTACATATTAACGTACATACGACACACACAAATGATACCGTTGATGCATACAGACGATACAGCGGATAGTATGCAGATGATACATACTTTACAGACGATGCACCTGGTACGTGCAGACAACACATCCGATAGTACGTTCCATCGATCTGATACGTACATCCGACGCAGACGATACATCCAGGCGACACATCCCGTAAGCACAGACGATACATCCGACAGACACAAACGATACATCCGACACGAACAGACGGTCCTGTGATGCGCTGCTGCTGTATGGATGATGGTGGAGGGGGGGGGGGTCAATGAGCCGAGCGTTCACGGCGCGTCGCCGCGGCCGTCGCTCACCCCAGGTGCGGTCCCCCGTTCATGAGGTCGAAGACCTGCGCCGGGTTCAGCAGCTGCTTGAACCTGCGCAGGAACTTGACCCCCTGGTTGTCGCCGCTCTTGGAGTTGACGAACACGAGGAGCGGGCTCGTCACGGACGGCGGGCACGTGGCCTTCCAGAAGCCTGCGCCCACCCCCCCCCCCCCCCGGCACACCGAGATGTTAACTACCTCGCCTGGTATACAGGAGGTCGTAATGTTCGATCCTGACCCTGACCATGCCTGCTGCTGTATATTTGGAGTTTGCGTGTCTCTCTCTGATCATCATCACTGCGTTGACTATGAGATGTTAACTACCTCGCCTGGTATACAGGAGGTCGTGATGTTCGATCCTGACCCTGACGATGCCTGCTGCTGTATATTTGAAGTTTGTGTGTCTGTCTCCCTCTCTCTCCCCGTGGTCGCGTCAATTTTTCTTCGTTTTTTTCGCTCCACATTTAGAATCGACGTCACGCATTTAGAGCATTTGGCTGCTGTACATTTCCACGTGATGATAAGCAACTTCGCTGAGCTATCGTTTGTGGCCAGGTCACTTCTGAAAAAGAGCTACGTAGCTCAGTGGGCCTCACCTGGTAAAATAAATATAGTTGTATAGTTTATTGTGATCTTCTCACTGTGGTCTGCGGCTACGACTAGTCATGTCATCTCTACCACACTCTATGAGTGACCCGGAAAATATATACACCCAGAACGCTAAAGCTGTGTACACCCAGAACACTACCACTGTGTACACCCAGAATGCTACCGCTGTGTACACCCAGAACGTTACCGCTGTGTACACCCAGAACACTAAAGCTGTGTACACCCAGAACGCTAAAGCTGTGTACACCCAGAACGCTAAAGCTGTGTACACCCAGAACACTAAAGCTGTGTACACCCAGAACTCTAAAGCTGTGTACACCCAGAACACTAAAGCTGTGTACACCCAGAACTCTAAAGCTGTGTACACCCAGAACTCTACCGCTGTGTACACCCAGAACACTACCGCTGTGTACACCCAGAACGCTAAAGCTGTGTACACCCAGAACACTAAAGCTGTGTACACCCAGAACACTACCGCTGTGTACACCCAGAACACTACCGCTGTGTACACCCAGAACTCTACCGCTGTGTACACCCAGAACTCTACCGCTGTGTACACCCAGAACTCTACTGCTGTGTACACCCAGAACTCTACCGCTGTGTACACCCAGAACTCTACCGCTGTGTACACCCAGAACTCTACCGCTGTGTACACCCAGAACGCTACCGCTGTGTACACCCAGAACGCTACCGCTGTGTACACCCAGAACGCTAAAGCTGTGTACACCCAGAACACTACCGCTGTGTATACCCAGAACGCTACCGCTGTGTACACCCAGAACTCTACCGCTGTGTACACCCAGAACTCTACCGCTGTGTACACCCAGAACACGACCGCTGTGTACACCCAGAACTCTACCGCTGTGTACACCCAGAACTCTACCGCTGTGTACACCCAGAACTCTACCGCTGTGTACACCCAGAACTCTACCGCTGTGTACACCCAGAACTCTACCGCTGTGTACACCCAGAACTCTACCGCTGTGTACACCCAGAACTCTACCGCTGTATACACCCAGAACTCTACCGCTGTGTACACCCAGACCTCTACCGCTGTGTACACCCAGACCTCTACCGCTGTGTACACCCAGAACACTACCGCTGTGTACACCCAGAACTCTACCGCTGTGTACACCCAGAACTTTACCGCTGTGTACACCCAGAACACTACCGCTGTGTACACCCAGAACACTACCGCTGTGTACACCCAGAACGCTACTGCTGTGTACACCCAGAACTCTACCGCTGTGTACACCCAGAACTCTACTGCTGTGTACACCCAGAACACTACCGCTGTGCATTCATATGTTTACCGTCTGTTATTGAAGGGTTTCCCTGCTGCACAATAGCTACTGATGGTCTAACTCTTCATCTTTGATTGATTCCGTTTCTTTGTTTATGCTTTGTAGGAACATTCAGCTCTAAGCTGATTTCAAAAAATGACCCAGCGGAGGGCGGTGGGTCTCAATGTATCTCAATGTATCTCTATGTATCTCTATGGATTTCTTCGTATCTCTATGTGTTTCTATGGGTCTCTTTGTATCTCTATGGATCTCTCTGTATCTCTATGGATCTCTATGGATCTCTCTGTATCTCTATGTATCTCTCTGTATCTCTATGGATCTCTCTGTATCTCTATGTATCTCTATGTATCTCTCTGTATCTCTCTGTATATCTACGTATCTCTATGTATCTCTATGGATCTCTCTGTATCTCTATGTATCTCTATGTATCTCTCTGTATCTCTATGTGTTTCTATGGGTCTCTATGTATCTCTATGTACCTCTATGGATTTCTTCGTATCTCTATGTGTCTCTATGGGTCTCTTTGTATCTCTATGGATCTCTATGGGTATTTTTGTATCTCTATGTGTCTCTATGGGTCTCTTTGTATCTCTATGGATCTCTATGGATCTCTCTGTATCTCTGTGTATCTCTGTGTCCCTATGGGTCTCGATGTATCTCTTTGTATCTCTATGGGTCTCTATGTATCTCTATGTATCTCCACATGTCTCTGTGGGTCTCTATGTTGACAAAATAACAATCTGTGGAGAACCTTGGTGGACAAAAGATGGAAGTTACAGCAGTGACTAAATCACAACGTTGCAGACACCTGAGTAGCAAACGCTTTGGAGGTTAGCGACATTCTTGTCAGGCTCCATTAGGGCAATACCAACAGCAGGTAACACAAATATACAACGACAAAATAAATTAAAGAAATAAATGGAACTGCTCAAAGGGGAAAATTGTTTTTTTCAAGGGCCCCATGGTGTCAACAGGTGCCGGCCACTCTCACTCTTCACTGGCCTCTCTTTATGCGCTATGATAAAGTGGAGTCATTACCCACGACGTACGTGTACCTCATTAATGACTCTTCAGAATCCGTTCCGATGACACACGTACGTCATCGGAACAGAATTGGAGGATAAACTAAACTAAAATAATTTTATCGGTACACAAGGCAAGGCTCCCACAAGGCCATGCGGCAGAGCGTGTGGCACAGTTTGGCGCCAGCTATCGTACAGTCTGGTGGTCGTGTCGCTTTGGTTCTCTGCGGTAAGCACAACGTCTTCAAAAGCAGCGGCGCTACTCCTCTCTAAATAATATTAATGCTCACCGGCGGTGAACGGGACACCCACCCTGCAACCTGCAGACGTCTGGGAACGGGTACGGGTTAAGATGTTTTCAAATTAACAACAACAACCGCCGTTCCCCACTAAGTGGCGGCGACGACTTTGTCACTCGAGTATCCAACAATCCCACCACATACAAGAAAACACACAACGTCAACCGCCGTTCACAACTAAGCGGCGGCGACGTCACCACGGTGCTCGTGCCAGGCTCTTTAAGGCCACGTGAAGACTCGAATGCCCGCCGGCAGGAGGTCACGGGACAGACCCAGGTGCCACGGGTCGACTGACCGTTGAAGCCAGTCAACCCGTGACACGCACACAGCGGAGTTGTCACTGGCATGGAACGTGTCGAGGATTCGTCGGTAGCCGCGCCCGTGAACCCTGCCTACACGGACGGTCACCTCCAGGTGACAGCGACCCCGGCCGCCATCCCCACCCGGGGCCGTCTGGGCGCGTGCCGGCCGGGCCCGTGGCTGCGACACGGAACGCGGTTCCTCGCTCACCGTCCGAGTCGATGCTGTTGAGCGCCGTCGGCGGGATGATGGACACCTTGCACTGGCCCAGCGGGCACTTGCGGCTGTAATGCTCCCTGCAAGCGGAATGCACCTGCAGAAGAGGGCAGACGTACGCCCGACGCGTACGGGTGACGCGGACGACACTTACGGGTGACGTGGACGACACTTACGGGTGACACGGACGACACGGGTGACGTGGACGACACTTACGGGTGACGAGGACGACACTTACGGGTGACGTGGACGACACTTACGGGTGACGTGGACGACACTTACGGGTGACGCGGACGACACTTACGGGTGACGTGGACGACACGGGTGACGAGGACGACACTTACGGGTGACGTGGACGACACTTACGGGTGACGTGGACGACACTTACGGGTGACGAGGACGACACTTACGGGTGACGTGGACGACACTTACGGGTGACGTGGACGACACGTACGGGTGACACGGACGACACGGGTGACGTGGACGACACTTACGGGTGACGAGGACGACACTTACGGGTGACGTGGACGACACTTACGGGTGACGTGGACGACACTTACGGGTGACGCGGACGACACTTACGGGTGACGTGGACGACACTTACGGGTGACGTGGACGACACTTACGGGTGACGCGGACGACACTTACGGGTGACGTGGACGACACTTACGGGTGACGAGGACGACACTTACGGGTGACGTGGACGACACTTACGGGTGACGTGGACGACACTTACGGGTGACGTGGACGACACTTACGGGTGACGAGGACGACACTTACGGGTGACGAGGACGACACTTACGGGTGACGAGGACGACACTTACGGGTGACGCGGACGACACTTACGGGTGACGAGGACGACACTTACGGGTGACGTGGACGACACTTACGGGTGACGTGGACGACACTTACGGGTGACGTGGACGACACTTACGGGTGACGAGGACGACACTTACGGGTGACGAGGACGACACTTACGGGTGACGTGGACGACACTTACGGGTGACGTGGACGACACTTACGGGTGACGTGGACGACACTTACGGGTGACGAGGACGACACTTACGGGTGACGAGGACGACACTTACGGGTGACGAGGACGACACTTACGGGTGACGAGGACGACACTTACGGGTGACGAGGACGACACTTACGGGTGACGAGGACGACACTTACGGGTGACGTGGACGACACTTACGGGTGACGAGGACGACACTTACGGGTGACGTGGACGACACTTACGGGTGACGTGGACGACACTTACGGGTGACGAGGACGACACTTACGGGTGACGAGGACGACACTTACGGGTGACGAGGACGACACTTACGGGTGACGTGGACGACACTTACGGGTGACGAGGACGACACTTACGGGTGACGAGGACGGCACTTACGGGTGACGAGGACGACACTTACGGGTGACGAGGACGACACGGGTGACGAGGACGACACTTACGGGTGACGTGGACGACACTTACGGGTGACGTGGACGACACTTACGGGTGACGTGGACGACACTTATGGGTGATGCAGCCAAAGGTCGTCAATGGGCAGGCTGATCGCCAGAAATGCCTCTAATGGGATTTTTCGATCCGCAAATCGTGACAGGAATCCCCGTACTGATTTGAAGAAGATTGACCCGGCACGATCACTGCTCAGTCACTCAGACACACGTGTTGAGAATATCACGGCACGGTCACCGCTCACTCACACAGACGAGGATGGGGGTGAGGGTGGGGGGGCGAGGGGGCTAGGGAGCGAGGGGGTAAGGGTGGGGGGGGGGTGAGGGTGGAGGGGCGAGGGGGCTAGGGGGCGAGGGGGTGAGGGTGGGGGGGGTGAGGGTGGGGGGGTGAGGGGCTAGGGAGCGAGGGGGTGAGGGGCGAGGGGGTGAGGGTGCTAGGGGGCTAGGGAGCGAGGGGGTGAGGGTGGAGGGGCGAGGGGGTGAGGGTGGGGGTGCTAGGGTGCTAGGGGGCTAGGGAGCGAGGGGGTGAGGGTGCTAGGGGGTTAGAGAGCGAGGGGGTGAGGGTGCTAGGGGGCGAGGGAGCGAGGGGGTGAGGGTGGAGGGGCGAGGGAGCGAGGGGGTGAGGGTACCATGGCTTTGCACCAGAGGCAGCGGCGGTCCTGCAGGCGCAGGACGCTGCCGCACGCCTTGTCGCACACCACGCAGCGCGCGCTCACCGGCAAGTTCCCCTCCAGCCACTGGTGCGCCATCGCCAGCTGCACCCACGACGACAACGACATTCGGACGACGTTCGGACGACGTTCGGACGACGCTCATAATGTGGCCGTAACGTCGCGAACGTCTCAGAGCGCAGGGAGGAAAACGAGAGGGAATGGCGGAGGGCCGAGTTCTGGCTCGCACGATCGCTTGCACGCCCACCCAGCCACTCTCTCGCACGATCGCTTCCACGCTCACCCAGCCACTCTCTCGCACGACCACTCGCACGCTCACTCAGCCACTCTCTCGCACGATCGCTTGCACGCCCACCCAGCCACTCTCTCGCACGATCGCTTCCACGCTCACCCAGCCACTCTCTCGCACGACCACTCGCACGCTCACCCAGCCACTCTCTCGCACGATCACTTCCACGCTCACCCAGCCACTCTCTCGAACGCTCATGCACTCGTCCACCACTTGATCACCCACGCACTCACCCACTCGCTCGCTCAACGGTTCGCTGACTCGCCCACCTCCCCGCTCGCTCACGACTCACTCTCTCACGCTCTCACCCCCTCACTCACTCAAGGGAAGGAGAGATGAGAAGAAGGATCAATGCAAGGAGCGTGATTGCACGCGAGTTGAAGAGGCAGGAGTTGAGTAGAGACTTGAAAGCAGAGAGGAGGGGGCGTAGTGCTAAAAGAAGACGGGGGACAACGTGATGATGATGATGATGTATGTTGAACTTCTTTTGCACCGTACGTAGCCAACCGTGATAATCAGAGGTGCAGGAGAAACGACAACAAACTAAACACACAAAAAATAAGTTATCAAGAAATGAGTTTGTCAATCTAGATGATTTAAACGTACGTAGCTCCAGTGGTTTCCTAATATCGGAAGGAAGAGCGTTCCAGACGGCCGCAGAAGCGCATCTGAAAGCGCCGCGCGATGCGGTGAAACGCCGCCTTTGTTCGATGGCCCAGCCAAAAGAGTGACCAGAGTTGGCGTGGAGTTTGTGGCGCTGCCCTCTACCACGTGACTTGATGATTAAAACAATTTGATTCGGATTTATAATACGCACAAAAGTCTCGCAGCGAGCCCCCTCAAACGAATCGGTGCCGTAAGGCATGGATAAGGGTTTCTGTGGCATCCCGAAAGCAGAAAAGGAATAGCCTGATCCACTGATGATGATGACGAGTGGAAATAGGATGATGACAGTGAAGATAACAATGATCATGGCAATGATGATGACAAAACTGAAGATGGCGATGATGGGGCTGATAATGATGACCATGATTATGATAATGCGAATCAAGACGAAGAAGATGATAACGATGAAGGTGATGATCAAATCAGTCAAAGGTGTCTTTCTTAGACAGAAAGACACCTTTGACATGGTGAACATGACATGACGAACATGACATGGTGAACATGACATGGCGAACATGACATGGTGAACATGACATGGTGAACATGGTGAACATGACATGGTGAACATGACATGGTGAACATGACATGGTGAACATGGTGAACATGACATGGTGAACATGACATGGTGAACATGACATGGTGAACATGACATGACATGGTGAACATGACATGGTGAACATGGTGAACATGACATGACGAACATGACATGGTGAACATGACATGGTGAACATGACATGGTGAACATGACATGACGAACATGACATGGTGAACATGACATGGTGAACATGACATGGTGAACATGACATGACATGGTGAACATGACATGGTGAACATGACATGGCGAACATGACATGGTGAACATGACATGGTGAACATGACATCACGAACATGACATGACATGGTGAACATGACATGGTGAACATGACATGGTGAACATGACATGGTGAACATGACATGGTGAACATGGTGAACATGACATGGTGAACATGACATGGTGAACATGACATCACGAACATGACATGACATGACGAACATGACATGGTGAACACAACGCGATGAATATGACATGACATGGTGAACATGACATGGTGAACATGGTGAACATGACATGGTGAACATGACATGGTGAACATGACATGGTGTACATGACATGACATGGTGAACATGACATGGTGAACATGACATGACATGGTGAACATGACATGGTGAACATGACATGGTGAACATGACATGACATGGTGAACATGACATGGTGAACATGGCATGACATGGTGAACATGACATGACATGGTGAACATGACATGGTGAACATGACATGGTGAACATGACATGACATGGTGAACATGACATGGTGAACATGACATCACGAACATGACATGGTGAACATGACATGGTGAACATGACATGACGAACATGACATGGTGAACACAACACGATGAACATGACATGACATGGTGAACATGACATGGTGAACATGACATCACGAACATGACATGACGAACATGACATGGTAAACACAACGCGATGAATGACATGACGAATGATATCGACAAGGATGCCAACGACGACGACCGCGATGTCAGCGATGTGTGGGGGAGGGTAGCGACGACCGCGATCGCGACGACGACGACAAAGACAACGGCGGCCACGACGCCTACCCCGTCCTCGTCCTCGATGATGTCCTTGCCGACGGAGGCGAGCGTCGTCCACTTGCAGTTGCTGGTGGCGCGCACGGCGCAGCGCTTGTGGGCCTTGAACTTGCACACTGCAACGCACGCAAACCGCAGGACGACTCGGCGACGTTCGTGTAGTAGCTACTACCACATGTAGTAGTAGCTACTACACGTGTAGTAGTAGCTACTACTACACGTGTAGTAGCTACTACTACACGTGTAGTAGTAGCTACTACCACATATGTAGTAGTAGCTACTACCACATATGTAGTAGTAGCTACTACCACACGTGTAGTAGTAGCTACTACTACACGTGTAGCAGCTACTACTACACGTGTAGCAGCTAGTACTACACGTGTAGTAGTAGCTACTACACGTATAGTAGCTACTACTACATATGTAGTAGTAGCTACAATACATGTGTAGTAGTAGCTACAATACATGTGTAGTAGCTACTAAACGTGTAGTAGCTACTAAACGTGTAGTAGCAGTAGCTACAGGCCCCGCACTTTCAAGGGCCCCGTGCTAAATGCCTTCAAGCTATCAATCCCGGTTCAGTGATCCTGCACTTGCTCTATTACTATAGTACTACACCGCCTTCAACTTTTACGAACGACTGGGTGTTTAAGCTTAGCGATTCGTCGTATTATCTGGCTGTATAGCGAATGAAAAAATACAATTACTTTACAATGCAAGTAAAAAAAATTGTGTTTTAATATTTACGTGTTTAAAAAATATATATATATGTTCGGGTCCCTTTATAACGTATACTACAGGCCCCGCACTAGCTTAGCCCAGCACGGGCCACAGCGCCGGTGGGAACCGCACAAAAAGAGACGCCGGAGATGCTTCGGCCCCCCCCTCCACACCTTCGCAGGAGAGGCCGTGCGACGTGACTCCGGACAGCGCCTCGCGGCACACGTTGCAGTAGGTGGGGCGCGCGTGCGTGCACGCGTACCAGTGGTGAGCACCCGAGAAGTGGTCCATGCTGTAGTGCACTGCCTGCCGCGGGAGGGGGAGGAAGAGGGGGGCAACGCGTGGACGGGGAGGGAACTTGTGCCTTTGTGTGTTGAACTTCTTTCGTACCGTACGTATCCCCCCCCCCCTCTCCCCCCAAGAGACCCACACAGAGACACATAGACGCACACAGAGACTAACAGACTCACAGAGAGACCCAGACTCACACAGAGGCCCACAGACTCACACAGAGACCCACAGATTCACACAGAGACACATAGACCCACACAGAGACTAACAGACTCACACAGAGACCCAGACTCACACAGAGGCCCACAGACTCACACAGAGACACATAAACCCACACAGAGACTAACAGACTCACACAGAGACCCAGACTCACACAGAGGCCCACAGACTCACACAGAGACCCACAGATTCACACAGAGACACATAGACCCACACAGAGACTAACAGACTCACACAGAGGCCCAGACTCACACAGATGCCCACAGACTCACACAGAGACCCACAGATTCACACAGAGACACATAGACCCACACAGAGACTAACAGACTCACACAGAGACCCAGACTCACACAGAGGCCCACAGACTCACACAGAGACCCACAGATTCACACAGAGACACATAGACCCACACAGAGACTAACAAACTCACACAGAGGCCCAGACTCACACAGATGCCCACAGACTCACACAGAGACCCACAGATTCACACAGAGACACATAGACCCACACAGAGACCAACAAACTCACACAGAGACCCAGACTCACACAGAGGCCCACAGACGCACACAGAGACCAAGAGACTCACACAGAGACCCAGACTCACACAGATACCCAGACTCACACAGAGAGCCAGATTCACACAGAGACCCAAAGACCCACACAGAGACCCACAGACTCACACAGAGACCCAGACTCACACAGAGGCCCACAGACTCACACAGAGACCAAGAGACTCACACAGAGACCCAGACTCACACAGAGACCCACAGACTCACACAGAGTCCAACAAACTCACACAGAGACCCAGACTCACACAGAGACCAAGAGACTCACACAGAGACCCAGACTCACACAGAGACCCAGACTCACACAGAGACCCAAAGACCGACACAGAGACCCACAGATTCACACAGAGACCAAAAAACTCACACAGAGACCAACAGACTCACACAGAGGCCCACAGACTCACACAGAGACCAACAGACTCACACAGAGACCCAGACTCACACAGAGATCCAGACTCACACAGAGACCCAGACCCACACAAAGACCCACAGACTCACTCAGAGACCAACAGACTCACACAGAGGCCCAGACTCACACAGAGACCCACAGACGCACACAGAGACCCACAGACGCACACAGAGACCCACAGACGCACACAGAGACCCACAGACGCACACAGAGACCGCTAGACTCTCTTGTTCCCAGTTCATGTTTCAGGCTCAAGTCCTTCCTTTGCCCATGACTGGCTGCCTCTATCATAAAAATAAACGAGCCCACTGTTTGTTTACAACGTCTTGGGTTGCGCTCACATTTAGATGCCGTATAAACCCGCAGGTGTTGTAATATTATCCCCCCGTAATCTGCCTGCAGAGGAATAACTAAATGGGCCGAGTGTCTGGTTTTGTGTGCGCCTTTCCCGATTGGTCAGGCATCAGGTGTTTCCGTCTGCGGCCGAGCCACCTTCACCTTGTCCCGTGATGACCTGAGACCCAAGTTCGATCCCACCACCTCCACCCACTCCCCACCATTGACTCGTCCAGCCAAGCAGCAGTATGCTGTGGCTCTGGGTCAGCTTGGAAGCCGACTCCGCTCCGGGTGTTTCCAGCCAAAATAATAAATCACATGCAGCCTCGCGGGAGACACTTGGCTGCCATAGCAGATCTATTTGAAGTCTTCTCCAGTTGTATAAAATTATTATTCTCGTCGTCGTTGTCGTCGTCCCGATTGCGCTATCGGCGTCACGTCGTCGCGAGATGGAGATTGCGAAGCCGCGGAAATCTCGCGCACGGCAGCCGCGGCCCTCTTGTGTTGGGAGAACTGCCCGCAGAAGTGGCTCTCGCAGAGCTACCTCCGAGATCCCTTCAAGTGACCGTTGGTCCTGTCAGAGGCATTTTACATAAATTTGGATCAGAGAGGTGGGGGGTGGCAGCCCCCTCCCTGCCCCGACTCGCTCTGCCACGTGAGAGAGACTAAGCCCGAGTTTCACATTCTCAGAGATGGAATTTAGCCAAATTAAGCGCAAACCCAAATTGGATGCCATTGTTTGTTGTTGCTGCTGTAAAGGCATCGGTGACCGGACTGAGGCCATCAACTCGCTACGTTTGAGAACCCGGTGCCTGGTATGCAGCAGGAGGTCGTGGGTTCGATCGCTACCCTGACGCCTGCTGCTGTATATTCGGAGTGTGCATATCTCTTTCCCCGTGGTCGTGTGGATTCTTTTTCAGGTCCTCTGTTTTTTTCCCCCTCCGCATTTAGAATGAGCATCACGCGTTTCGAGTATTTGGCTGCTATAAATGTCCACATTATAATTAGCCACTTTGTTGAGCTTCCATTTGCGACCAAGTCGCTTCTGAAAACGAGCTACGCAGCTCAGTGGGTCTTCCCTGGTAAAATAAAAAAGTAGTTGGTTTAAGTAGTCTTTAGTTTAACCGGGGACCGGTGGCTGATACCCGGATTGAAACGCAGGCCAGTGCCGGATGATCCTCGTAGCAGCACAAGTAGCTACAAATGCAGCTACGGGCCCCGCACTTTCAAGGGCCCCGCGCTAAACACTTGCAAGCTATCAATTCCGGTTCAGTGATTCTGCACTTGCTCTATTACTATAGTACTATACCGCCTTCAACTTTTACGAACGACCGGGTGTTTAAGGTCAGCGATTTGTCGTATTATCTGGCTGTATAACAAATGAAAAAATACAATTACTTTACTATGCAAATTAAACATTCGTGGGTTGTTTTTAAATTTAGGGCCCCTTTCTAACAGACGCTGCAGGCCCCACACTTGCTTCATCCGGCACTGTCCCAGGCTCTCGGCGTCCCTGACCTCTGAGAGCCACGTCCCCCCGTGACGCTCTCATTCACCGATCGCCGCGGTCGTTTGTCGGTCTGCAATGAAAAAAAAGTCTCCCCCGACGCGGATTTCGCTGCCGAGCTGACCTGGCGCGACCTCGCGGACACCGCAGCTGGCTGGGGGTAGCGGGGTGCATTTGATGTGGACTGTGCCAACTCTCACGCTGGGGGGGGGGGGTGTGGGGGAGAAGTGGTTTGACCCGGTGGACCCAGTGTCCTCGCCGGCCCACCCATTGCCTTGCTGACCTGAAAGGGCTCGGTGCTCTGCACCGACTTGAGAGCGGCGATCCAATCTTCCATCTCCTTGCGGCTGTCAGCGCAGAGGATGAGCCTCCGGAACGGGGTGATTATCTGAAGACAAAGAGATAAAGATCCCGATCCTTCCCCCACCGCCAGGTAGCCTTTGTAGAAGCCTCTCCACATGATGCGCACACAGATCCCCCCATCCCACTCCACCCCATGTGTAGCCGCTGTCGGGGCGAGTGCCGTAAGCGAGCGCCTATCAGGGCCAGCACGAAGCTAGGGGCTTGATGAGCACCGCCTTTGTATCTCGAGCGGCGATGTTTGTGCACACCACCACCACCGCCCCAGGTACACATTTTTAGGCTGAGTCAACCGAGGGGGAGGCTCAGACGATCGTCGCTGGTGTTGGCCGTGAGCAGGAGTCGAACTCGGTTCGCCGGTTCAGTAGCGCGGCTCGCTAACCACCGCGCCACCGTTTCCCACGTACACAACGAAGATCTCACGTGAAGCCTCGACAGACTGTCGGGGCAAGCGCTGATAGCGAGTAGCACCTGTGTAGGCCGGCACGGCATACGAAGGGGTGGGTGGCCAGCACTACGCCCGTACACGTGCACACACACACACAGACGCACGCGCAGCTGGCGTGCACAAACGCACATCATCAGAGCCTCCAGATTGCTCTTGATGAGTCACAGAGACAGCACAGATCGACCCCCCCCCCTTCCGCCCCCCATGGGAGGGGGGGGGGGCAGAGGCACAGGGGCAGCTGCTCCTGCCAGTGGCATTTTAAATCAATTTGGAACACGTAGGAGGAGGAGAGATGGTGCCTCTGTGGTAGGCAGGGGAGAAGGGGAGTTCTTGGGAGACTGGAGTCTGGAGAGGAGGGGGAAGAGGAGAGGGATGGGTTGAGAGAGTTTCAGTCCTCTGGGACACCACCGCCGCACGCGCACTGCAAAGCGGATGAGATTGCATCGATGTTGATTTATTTATTGATCATTAGAGGGGGAGGGCTATCAGATATTTCATTGCGTGGCGTTTACAACCTCGCCCTCGCCCTTGACTGCGACGTGTTCCGAGGCACACGATCGGGCTGACGGTTCGGCCTGATCCATAACGTGCTCAACCACCAGTACCAGCAGCACCACCACCACCACACTGCAGGTCACAACACAATACACTCCCTGGCTCACCCACTCACTCACCCACCCACTCACTCAACCACTCACTCACCCACTCATTCAGCCACCCACTCACTCACCCACCCACTCACCCAGCTACTCATTCACTCACTCACCCACTCACTCACCCACCCACACACTCACTTTCTCATCCACCCACCCACTCACTCACCCACTCACCAAGCCACCCACTCATTCACCCACCCACTCACCCACTCATCCACCCACTCATCCACCCACCCACCCATCCATTCACTCACCCACCCACCCATTCACCCACTCCAGGCCACTTTGAAAACCTTTCTCCCATCGCCGCCCAGTGTCCCCGAGCTCCCACCACAACCTTGCGCGCTCTATTCGACTCTTATCGATCGCAACTTCTTAATCGGCTTTAGGCTCAGGCCGCGTCGTGATCTGCCCGAATTTGTGTCGTGACCTGGCCAAAACCTCCACCACTCGACGCAGCAAAAAAAAAGCGGAACTTCCGCAACAACATTTAACAATCAGATTAACGACGTTTCATTTTAAACCGTCTTATTTTATATTTAAAGAGCACCTTTATCCAAGGGGCTTAACGTAGTTAAAAGAAACGATTTAGATGACAGTGGTGGTCTAGGGCCGAGGAATGAGTGGCCGCGATTCGTTGCCCTTCTCCCCGCACCTCCGACGAACACGGCTGGCGACGTACGGCGTGAAAGAAGTTCACGGTACGCGCTCGCACACCGGGGATCACGAAGGGGTAGCGGAGGGATGGCAAGGAGCGGAGGAGCGAGCGGAGCGAAGAGAATGGGAACGGAACCACAGCGATCCACGCCAATATACAGCCACGTGGCATGTGACGCGCGTCGCGACGTCGTGAATTCCGGTCGCGCCGCTTGTTGCTGGCCACTCGGCGTTTGGGCCCTTTGGGCGCTGTTGCTCAGCCACTGCGGCTGAGCAACAGCCCGCACCCCCCCCACCGCCACCCGCGAGGTCGAGCGAGTCGCGCTGTGGGAAGGAGCTGCGGCTCGCAGAGCTCCCAGCGCCGCTCTGCCGCTGAGCGCGCGAGTGTTTGCTTTGGAGGAGCGTCGGCGAGGACGTTGGAGCACTCCGTTCCGGACACCCCGAGCTCCAGTCCACGTCTTTGCCACTCACCGTCGGTGGTGAGCGACGACCGGCGCGGCGAAGTACGGCCAAACACTTCTGCGGCCGTCTGGAACGCGCCTTCCTTTCGCTGTTAGAAAGCCACCGGATGCACGCACTTTGACATCATCTAGGTTGAAAAGTAATTTCTTTGGAACTGTTCAACATACGTAAGTACGCACAGACAGCCCTGACCTCTGACACGGCATGCCGGGGCCTTCATCCAGCAGTGGATTCACAATGGACTGCCCCTTAGATTATCATCATCATTATGATTGTTATGGATGTACGTAAGCGAGAAATGGAATTGATCCGGCTGACGTTCACCGAGGAGACGGAGCTCTGAGATCGATGGACGTGACGTTGTCGTGCGCGGATCGTTTTTGAATCGCAGGATCGTGAGACGTGGCGCTGGCTTGGGTAGGAGGCCTTCATCCAGCAGTGGATTGACCATGGCTGACGATGATGACTATTTATATATCCGATGTTACTATATTTCGGTGCTCACACATTTTGAAATTGCATTTAAAAGTGTTTTTTTTAAATATATGGTTAATGAAACAGATTTACGGAGGATATTTCGTCTCAGAGTCGGCAGCACAGTCTCGCGCGCGCTCCATTAAGGGCGGCGGTAATTGCGTAATTTATTATGCGATGGTACGAAACACCGACACAGATTTCGGAAAGAGTAATTTGACGAATGAATAATCTCAGATATCTTAGAGGCACATTCACATTGACACTCGTTTTCAATCACATGGTTAGCAAATGTCAGGGGCTACGCTTGCAATTTGACGCGGCCAAAACGAATCACGGTGAACAACCACTCCCTGATGGAGGTTGTTTTTGTTGGGTTAGATCACATGTGTCGTTAAACCCGCCACCACCCGACACAGCCAATTAGCAAGGTTTGTGTTACTAGCACAGCACACCGGTGTGTTGGAGAGCAAATCGACAACATTTACAATCGCTCCCTGTTTAACGCGAAGGACTCTCTCGCGACGAATATCCTCCATAATACACGGTTGCTTTTGGGGTTAGATCACGTAAATAGAACCCAACACCCGCCCCCTGTATTATGGAAACCACTCCCTGACTGCATGAAACATTACTTTGACAGGAGCCCGAGAATGTAGTGCCCCCACCGTCACCGTATAGACTTTGCCAGCCTAGTGGGGCAAGGTGCCGTGAGTGGGCATCTATGAAAGCCGGCACGGCACACGAGGGGGTGGGTGGCCACCAGCATCGCGCCAGGCACTCGCTTAAGGCTGAGTTGACCCAAGGGGAGGCCCTAGGACCGGTTCAGATATTCATCGCCGACGTTGGCCGTGAGCGGGAATCGAACTCGGGTCCGCCAGGTTCGCAGCGCAGCGTCGCCACTATCACACTACACAAAGACAAAGATCTCCCGTGTAGCCTGCACGAGGCTGTTGGAGCAAGTTCTGTTTGCGAGCAGCACCTATGAAGGCCGGCACGGCACATGACGAGGGGGTGGTTGGCCAGCAACACGCCCGACCGCCTTTGTCTCCCCAGTGGCGATGTTTCTTACACACCGCACCGGGTGCTCACTTGAGGCTGAGTCGACCTAGGCGAGGTCCAGGACCGGTTCAGGTAATCGTCACTGACGTTGACCGTGAGCGGGAATCGAACTCGAGATCGCCGGGTTCGTAGCGCAGCGCGCAACCCGCTACACTACCGCAACCCCACTATAACACACAAAGACAAAGAGCTCCCGTATAGCCTGAACGGACTTGTGGGGCAAGTGCTGTTAGCGAGCACCTTACCCCACTAGACGCACACGCGTGCGTGTGAATAACAATTTACGCACAACATTAAAAATAGCCACGCTGACAGCGCAAGGCACGAGTGCATCCACTAACAACTAAAACGGGAATAAAACGTCTCAAGCGATTCCGTGAGTACAACAAACAAAACTCAATGGAGCTTACCCCACTCCCACTTGGCACGCCGTCTCTCACCCCCACCCCACCTCCCCTGAAATCATGGGGCTCCTGCACAACCGAACAACGCGCTTATCAAGAGAAACAAACCACGGGCCATCTCCTTAGATGCCCTGCAGCACCACAACGCCCTCCTCAAGATGTGTCAAATGACAACGCGGCAAGCGGCGTGGCCTGTGCAGAAGATCGCGAAGCGACTCGACGAGGTGGACGAGGTGGACGGGAGGGGACGAGGAAGAGGCATCCCCCCCACCCAGCAGCCCCTCGGCTCGACTCGCGCGCGACAGAGCGAGCCACGGGCTCGCAGCCAGAAGGGAGGAAGGGCCGTGAACAGTCGCACGCAGCGTTCAAGATAAGCCTCTGAGTTGAGCTGTGCGACACCTCCACTCCCTCCACTCCCTCCCTCCCCTCCTGACGCTCCGTGCCGCGAGCCACGGAACCTGCCCAGCACGAGTTCGAGTCCCGGCCCCAGAGCCGCGCGCGTCTCGGTGACCCCCTCCTCCACCGCTTCCCGACATGGACAACAACAACAATAACAACAACAATAACAACAACAATAACAACAATAACAACAAGAACAAGAACCACAAAGCCACCTCTCGCTTGGCGAGACGGTGGGCGAGAGAGCGCTTGAGAAGACGGCTGATGACCGGCCTCGCGGTCTGTGGGACACGCGGCGGGATCTGAGCAATGAGGACGATCGCAGGCGAGGCGCAGGTCAACAGGTGAGCACAGGTGCGCACAAGGTGAGCACAGGTGAGCACAGGTGAGCACAAGGTGAGCACAGGTGAGCACAAGGTGATCACAGGTGAGCACAAGGTGAGCACAGGTGAGCACAAGGTGAGCA